CAGTGTCTGGAAAAGTACTCAAGAGCATCTTTAAAAAAAAAAAGTGTTAGCGTTAGCTTTTGACTCTAGGCGACGTTTATATCCATTTTCATACAAAGTTTTCTTTGCGCATATTTCTCCATCATGACCTCCCTTCACTACCATCCTTATCTGTCTCTCATGGTCTTCTCTCACTGCATCACAAAAGCATATCTTTAAAAGGTTGATCCGAACTAAACAGAGAGCAGCGGAATTATTGCCAGCTGCTCAGTGGAGTGCTGCAGGCAGATAGACGTTTGCAAAATTGTTGACATTGATGCATTCACACGGGATCACAGAAGTACAAGAGAAGAAATGAGAAATTCAACTCTATCTATTCTCAGCTGACCCTGCGCCACAGCCGAAGGCAGCCTCCTCACATATCAATGTAATACCTTTTACGAACGAGGTTGACTTTTCTCTGTTTTTAGACGACTTTTTGATTTGTTTTTCCCCCTTCGCTTTATTTATCATTTTTATATTCAAGGCTAAAACAAAAATGTTACACAAGTAAGAGGCAAGGGTGGTTTGAGTGGTTGACAGGACGATGACTTTATTGGCATTCTGAAATATTCCCTTTTCTACTATGAACAAGCAGGGCCAGACTGAGACTTTTTGACTGGAGTGGCACAACTTAGGGCACAGACTTCTACAGGGGTGGCACAAACTATATGTGTGAGCAAACAAACAAATTAATAGCATTTATTTACCCTTCCTGACTCGACTGTACATTAAAAGAGAGCTTCGCTGTGCTCTAATTTAGTTTGCTTCTGGGAATATTGCACTTGATCAATAAAACAGCTGTTGATAAGCTATGTGATTCAAAAACCAAGCTCCTGAGAAATACAGTGAAACTGCTAATGTTGCTATTTGGAGTGCAGTTGCTTCCCAGTACTGACTGTATGATACTGAGTGATACAGAGTGGTACAGTTCAGTTGTTGTCAATCAATCAATCTTTAATTGTATAGCACCAATTCATAACAAATGTCATCTCAAGACACTTTACAAAAAGCAGGTAAAACACCTTACTAATTGCTATATTACAAAGACGTAACATTAATCCATCATGAGCACAGCACTAAGCAACAAATAGCAAAATAACAGCGGCAAGAAAAAAGCATCCTTTTAACAGGCAAAACCAGGCTCATGATGAACCAGAGTTCTTGAAAGTTAACAGATGGGTAGATGATGAATGAAATATGTCTTGTTGAAAGTCAACAGATGATCTTCAGTGTAAAGTGTAACAGTAACTCTAAACTACACCAAAGGATGGTATCTGGTAAGCCTTGATCGCAGCCCCCTCTGTTAGGGGCCCTGAGGTCCAAAGACATCCCACCTTTCCGCCAGCTCCTCCACCATCAACTGACCTGGGTCTGCAGTTTGACCAAAGACAGCGAAAGTCGCACAGGACAGGTGATCTCACCAAGGACTCACAGTAAGTAGTGATCCCAAGGTAGGATCTGGGATGATAAAGGCAGCAAGTCTAAGTGCCTGGAGGTAGATCATTTTGGATGTCTAGTTGAAGCTGTCGCTGGTACCTGATAAATAATCTTGCAGGCTTCCTGCTAAAAGGTGTCAGGGCTCCAGTAGGGGTTGAGCAGGTGTAGATCTTTGACAAACCAGTTGTGTTATCTAGGAAACATGTGTAGAGAGATCATACCCAGATGCTCATTAGCTCTTGAATCACCTGGGAATCATTAATCATAACAACTCCAGTGAAGCCTTCAGAGAAGAGACAGCTCAATACATTCGCTCACCAGCAAAGAAACAGGATGCAGTGTTCTTTTGATGCATCGATCTGTCCCACAACCATGAAGCGGTGGAGTTTCGAGGGCCGGTCCAGGTGATCCAGCAGGTGAGGCAAGAATTTCATGTACTGCAGGCAAACTCCTGGTCCAAGTGCTGGGAGTTGAGGGCCATCATGCCCAGAAGAGAGGAGGGGGTTTTTGAGAGCTGAAGCCAGGTTGGTGGAGCTACTGTACAGCATGTTTCCATCTACAAAGGAGGTGATTGAGCTGCATTGAGCTGCTCTCGCTGGCGGTGAGATAAGATTCCAGAGACACAGCTGGAGGCCATTTAAAGGATCTGATAGAGGAATCTAAAGAAAAATAATGATGATTCTCTCTGCATTAACTGTTCATAGCTCAATGAAAATGTTTTGGAAACATCATCAGCATAACATTGATGAGGTGTAGGTTTTTCATACACTGAAAAACACAAAAGAACAAAAGAGCCTAAAAAAAACTAAAATATATATATATATATATTGTTTTTGTAATTTATGGAGGTCAAAAAGCTCCAGCAACATTTGTATGAAGATCAACTTTATAAAAAAATTAGACGGACGCATTTCGTCTTGTGGCCTTCAAGACTTGCTAATTTCTCCATGCACCTTGGTAGTCGGAGAATTCCACTCTGCTTCTACATGTAGCAATTTATTGTCAGAAAGGCTAGAAGCAGAACACAGTTAATTGCCATGTGTAGACTTTAGCACTGTGACGGTCACTCTTGTCACACACACACATCCACATTCATTCCATGTTTGTTTGTACTATGGTCATTGGTTTGTGTTACGATAATAAATCGATGTTGTCTCAAGATAAGTTGTGTTCTTTCTTGTATTTGTCATAGCCCTGGAGCCCGTTTATGACAGTACTGAGTGGACAGACATAAAAAAAAAAACTTGACACACAGGTGTGTATCTTTATGTGCAAAGCCTAATCTTTCATATCACTGGTATGTTCACTGGTATGTTCACTGACTGGTTTGAAACACCTTTTGGTGTTAAACAAGGGGATATTCTTTCTCCCACTCTGTTTGCATTATGTGAATGATTTGCCTCTACAGATTATGACAGCTAATTTACGTGTGTGCCTGGATGTAATTATGTTAGGTATTTTATTATATGCAGATGATATAGTCTTACTAGCCGAGTCTGAGACCGGTTTACAATGCATGTCAAATATAGTCAAGTCATGGTGTTATAAGTGGAGACTAGAAATAAACCACAGCAAAACACAAATAATGCTCTTTAGAAAGAAATGTATTGAAAGAAGACCACAAAGATTTAGTTTTGGTTCAGTTGACCTGTAATATGCTGGGGCATATAACTACTTGGGGTTCTTTCTTAATGAGTTTAGGACATATGAGTTTAGAATTGGGTGTCTTGTTGATTCTGCTGAAGGAGCTTTGGGACTGTCTCTAGCAAACTGAAAGTATGTAATGACTTTGGATATGTTACCTACACTCAACTTTATAATGCATCTTCTATACTGAATCATTTTACAGGGGTGTGGGGTTTAAGAAACTACAAAAATGTATATACTGTATGGAATATACACGATGCTTTCTGGGAGTTCAGATTTGCTACAGTTCCGACAATTCAGGGGAGGTGGGCTGGGTACCAGGGTCTGTACTGCGAAAATGTTAAATCATCCCATTGTGGAATCGATGAATCAAAAGTGCAGAGGACAGAATAAGCAAGAAAGTATTTATGTGGAGCAAAACATAACTCTCCATGGGCAAAAGAGCTCTATTCAATTTTTGTGGAGGTGGATATACATGTGTTGTGTATTTACAGGAATAATCTGTGCTGTAATGTTAACTCCATGAAAGATAAGCTCTTGATCAAGTATGAAGAAAAATAGTTTGAAAACATTCTGTCCAAGCCTGTAGCTAAGGACATAATACAGGTCAAAGAGAATTTGATACCTGAGTGATGTAACATGGCGTTTATCTAGAGGGCAAAGATCCTTGGTCGCTCAGTTAAGATCTGGTATTCTCCCTCTAGCCATCGAGGTTTGTAATTCAAAAATATTAGAGGAAAACAGACTTTGTGAGATGTGTGTCAAGGTTGTGGAAAATCATGAACTGGACCCAAGTGCAGAATGAAAAAATAAAAATATTTATTTAAACAAAAGGGCAAACAAAAACTTACTTCAAAATCCAACAGGAGAAAACAAGGAGCCATGAGTAAACTGACATACGACAAACGAAATAGACATAGGGTAATCAGACATAGGTGAGACTAACAAGACACTGGTCATGACAATCAACATGGAGGGAAACACACAGAGGCAGGAATACAATACAAGAAACAGTGAGGACAACTACAAAACTAAATCATGAAACACTAAAGACACACAGAACTCAAGAATCTAACAAAACACACTAGAACACAGAGATACATGAGGATAATAAATGACAAAATAGAACAGAAAACACTGAAGACAAAACTAGGAAACACACAAGGGAAAAACCAGCAACATTAGGGAACATTAACACACAAGGGAAACAAGCAACACTTGGATAAAACAGGGAAACTCAAATACAAAACCAAATCATGACAATGTGTGATTTGGATAAAGTGGAAAATGAGTCCCATTTTCTTTAGAATTGTAAAAAATATGGTGACTTAAGACAATTATTGTTTCATGAAGTAGCTCATCAAAAACCTGAGATATTGGGGTGGGCAGATGTGCAAAAACTGTAATGGCTGTAAAGTTTGATGTGTTTAAGCTTGCTAAATGTGTCTCAAAAGCTTGGAAAAGACGACAAGTCTTTTTAATAAGTGTTAATAATAAATAGATCTTATTTTTGCCTTCTTCTATGCAGTCTGATCCTGGAACGTCTTTAATTCATGGTCATGTAAGCCCATATGGGCTGGGCATATGTTTGTATGACAATAATGAAATAAAAACTTTAAACTTCACTAACGTAAACTCTTGGGGCTCTTGGTGTAGCTAGGGCCCTTGATATTCACTCATCAATGTTATAACGTGAAATCAAAAATTATAAATCAAAAAATAATAGGCTAATAATCCCAAAAATGAAGAAACATTTTTTCATTACGAGACGAACACAAAAGTCCAAGTATTCTGGACTGGACCAGCGTTGACCGATTGCATAACTTTGCATAACTTGTTTGCATGTTTTCCTGGTTTGTGGGACCGCCCATCAGCACAGCTGAATAACTCCGAAGTGGGAAGTAAGTAAGAGTTCACTGTTGTGTGCACTGGAGGAAAGATGGGCTTCATTCCGGACTTTTCCATCGAGACCTGGACTTTAATAGCGTTTGTCATCACTCTCATCGGAGTGTAAGTATGAAGTTATGTCCTCTTTCTTTTCAAATGTTTAGAGATAAAGTTCACAATCATACGACGATATTCAAGAAAAACAGCGAAAATAATGGAAGTTTTGATTGACTTTAGTGAGGCCTGAAATTGAAACCAAATTTCAGTTACGGTTATACACTTTCTGGGGACTGTCACCTCACCCAAAGCAGCGAGCCGAAATGTCTTTGACGCTGCTCTGCTTAGAAAGAAGAACCTGTTTTTAAAGAGAATAATTTGACCACTAAATAAAATGATGCACGTTTTAAGTAATGTTGGGCTGTAAGGGTTAACCGTTTTCTAATGTAGCTGATATCCACTGAATGTTGACGATAACAGCTACTCCAGTTACATAATCAATGGAACAACAATTCAGGTGGTGGCCAAACATGGCCATTGTACTGGACTAGACTACACCTACAGTTAAGTGTTTGGCAATTGCTGGATGGTTCTATCTATGATTTTCAAAAACATAACGAAAGAGCATCTTATATTCACGTGAAACATTATTATTCTGTAAATATTTACACAAGAAAGGTGTCATCCACCTTTCTTGTTCTTTAAGTTTCCCCCCAGGTTTCACCTTTCATGATCCAACAACTACTACAAAGTAAAAGTCTGAAATGAAGGCTGTGATACATAAACATTATCCCACCCTTAGAGGTTCAGAAAATATTCCAGAAAAGAGGGAGATATGTCAGTCAGTCTTTTCAGCCTTACAAGACATTGCTGAGAAGAGGTCAATCAAGTCAATGAATAAGACAGGCTTTAAAAACGATGTGTAATCAGGGTGTGTAGAGGATTTGTGTTTAACTGATACTTTCAGTAGAGTGGATTTAAAGGCCCCATTGTCTTTGTTAAGGTTCAGTGTTGAAAAATGATGCAAGTAGTTAGAGGAAAAAAACTGACTCCATGTTTTGAAAGGGATTGTAAAGATATAATCTGTAGTGTACAGTGAAACAAAGAGCTAACAGGAAAGTCAAGATGTTGTCTGTCCTGTGTTCTTTGTGCATGACCATACAGGAGATCAATCAGCAACACTAATTACAGTCACCTGGGAGGGAACCATAGACCTTCCCATTAAAACAAGTTTTATACACACTTTGATAAGGCTTATAAAGCGCAGATGTGGCTCGAGATTTTAAATTCTTCAGGCAATCTCAGTAGACCCTCTACACAGCAGGCATTTCAACATGTCATCTTATGTTAATTGAGTAAGAAGTGCAGTCAAATCACAGCCAAACATTTGGACCATGACTATAGCAGGGCGGTTTAACCCAACTGGATGCAAATCAGAGTGGACATTGTTGGGTGCTATAATAATTTTTAAGCGCTTTAATTATGTCATGACATACCATTTTTACCATGTTACCAGTACTCCATTAATGCTTCAATAGTCTTCTAAAAATGATTTGCATTTTGCAAAATGGAATAATCACAACACAGGTTTACAGTTTTTGTAAAAAAGGCAGAATTTTGTAATTTCATTTAATAACTTGAGATGATTGATCAATAGCTCTTGTAATAACATGATTTGTTCTTGGTTTTCTTCCTACTCTGAATCCTCAGATATGGATATGCCCCATATGGCTTTTTCAAGAAATTAGGCATCCCTGGACCCAAACCTCTGCCCTTCATTGGAACGTTTTTGGAGTACAGAAAGGTGAGACATGTTTGTTTCCTGATTTGTACTAGTCGTATCACAGTGCTTCCTTAACTGATAATGGGGCGGCAGTAGCTCAGTCTGTAGGGACTACCAACTCAGGAGCGTTAGCTGTGGGCAGCCCCCTCACTCTGAAAACCTTCCATTAGTGCATGTCCATATGATCCTGTTTGTGCATGTGTGTGTATTTCAGCATATGTGTGTAGCATGTTCAACAATAGAGGGTACCATTGAATTTTCCCTCGCGGTATTATTAAGTATATCTTCTTCTTCTAATGGTTTTTTTTATTTTATTCCTCAGGGAGTCCACAATTTTGACACAGACTGCTATAAGAAATATGGAAAAGTGTGGGGGTAAGTTTTAGGGAGTTATACTGATTAATAAAAATGATATACTTTTAATGGCCCATGCATGGCTTGAACGGAATATTCCCTTTTGCATTTCAAGAAGCTACGATGGCAGGCAGCCTTTGTTGGCTATAATGGACCCTGCTATGATCAAAACAGTCCTTGTCAAGGAGTGTTATTCAGTGTTCACCAACAGACGGGTAAAGAGGAAACATTTACATTTAATTTTCCAAATGCCAAGTTGATGAGCACAATATAAAGTGTGTGTGTGTGTGTGTGTGTGTGTGTGTGTGTGTGTGTGTGTGTGTGTGTGTGTGTGTGTGTGTGTGTGTGTGTGTGTGTGTGTGTGTGTGTGTGTGTGTGTGTGTGTGTGTGTGTGTGTGTGTGTGTGTGTGTGTGTGTGTGTGTGTGTGTGTGTGTGTGTGTGTGTGTGTGTGTGTGTGTGTGTGTGTGTGTGTGTGTGTGTGTGTGTGTGTGTGTGTGTGTGTGTGTGTGTGTGTAGGATTTTGGCCTAAATGGACCCTTACGTGATGCTGTATCAGTAGTAGAAGATGAGGAGTGGAGGAGGATTCGAAGTGTACTGTCTCCATCATTCACCAGCGGTCGACTGAAAGAGGTTAATTCGTTGTTGTTGTTTTTTTTGTAAATAAATTAAAATGTGACATGGTAATACAATGAGATAATGACAATTAAGTAAAGATAATGCAACAACAGAAGTAAAGAATAAACACTAAAACACTTTTCTCATATGTGCACTTAAACATGTAGATCCTTACTGACTGTTAACGCTCGATGGTTTTTGATGTTTTTTCACTTTGAGGCAGATGTACAAGATAATGACGCATCACTCAAGTAACCTGCTCAAGAGTCTTCACAAGAAAGTCGAGGCAGATGAAGTAATAGAAGTCAAAGAGTACGTAATGTGCCCTTTGTCCTGGTGCTGTATCTGCAATGTTTAGTTGCTTGTTTCCTGTTGGTGCTGAAACATTTCTTAGCACAAAGAATGTGGTTGATTTAACTTTTTTTTTGGTCCTTGTTTTTTATTCCAGAATGACTCAATTGGAATAATGTGGTTGCATTTTTTTCAGAGTATTTGGACCTTACAGCATGGATGTTGTGACCAGCACTGCTTTCAGTGTGGACATTGATTCAATCAACCATCCCTCTGACCCGTTTGTAGAGAACATTAAGAAAATGGTCAAGTTCAACTTTCTGAACCCATTGCTTGTACTTTTGGGTATGTCGTACTTCATGCCGTAACCACAAGGTCCGTGTTTCTTTTCTATTGAGCTGCTAAAAATCGTAATCTTTTCTATTCCTTTTTATTTCAGTTCTGTTTCCATTCTTGGGGCCAATTTTGGAGATGATGAATCTGACTATATTCCCTGCTTCAGTGTTGGAGTTCTTCTACACCTTCCTAAAGACGATCAAATTAGACCGCAACAAGAATGAGCACAAAGTAAAACATTTGATATTTCTCTGAACCTTATCCAAGAACACAGGTTGGACCATCAAAATTAAATAACTTACTTTCCTTGTCTTACAGAACCGTGTGGACTTCATGCAGCTGATGGTAGATGCACAAGTTTCAGAGAATAAGGAGGACACGGGCTCTGAAAAAAAAGGTAGAGACAGAGACAGCAGAGAAGAATTAAAGCTCCACAATTTCATTCAGTCATTGCTTAAGGACCTCTATCAAGATATCTTGGATCTTCCTAAAAACAAAGGCTATTGTTTTTCATTTGAGGAACATTTTCATAGTGTATACATTAAACAATATTTGTCCTACTACCAATCACCAGTGTTTCCAAATTGTAGCTTCAAAGGAAGTAAGACATACTTTTCTAACATTTTAGATAAATGCTCTTTTCTTGGGGCATCATCTTGGTCAAAAAGGGTAAAAAATACAGCAAGTTTTGGCTAAATCTGTTAATCTAAGGGCAGTTTATAGTAGTTTTTGTGTCTTGTAGTTATTGACTCACACGAACAACTCCTGAAAGGTGTTATTATTATTTTTTCATATGTATCATGAAACTGTTTCTCGGTTGATGGTGTAGGTAAACTCCAACATTGTTCCACTGCAATCACCATCTTTTCTAGCTCGAGTCACAATCTAGTGACAACCCAGTCAGATATTTAATCACAAGCTTATTAACTTATTAGCCATTCCAGACAATAAGTTCAAGGTTGTGTTTTTTTTTTTTTTCAACTTTGATCATGATTGTCATAATTGTTTAATCGTGGTGTGTTTGTGTTGCAGGGTTGACTGATAATGAGATCCTCGCTCAGGCTATGATATTCATCTTTGCTGGCTATGAAACCAGCAGCAGCTCACTGGGATTCTTATCCTACAACCTGGCAACCAATCCTCAGATCCAAAAGAGACTTCAAGAGGAGATTGATGACACCTTCCCAAATAAGGTTCCTGTCGCTAGATATCTTTTTTGTTTTAACAAATTTAGTTTTTTATCAACTGCTGCAAACTAATACTGACTTTTGTACTGCACCTTCCTCCAGGGTAAACCAACCTATGAGGCCCTTATGCAGATGGAATACCTGGACATGGTGTTAAACGAGTCAATGAGGCTCTACCCCATTGCTAACCGTTTGGAGCGGATGGCAAAGGCCTCTGTTGAAGTGAACGGTATGACCATTCCCAAAGGAACTACCGTCATGATACCAGTTTACACTCTCCACCGTGACCCTACTGTGTGGCCTGAGCCGGATACATTCAACCCTGAAAGGTATAAATGCTGGATTCATAGAAGGTTAATGTCAGATTAAACCAGAATTCAGTAGTTTGGCTAACGTTTTATCTTTTTCAGGTTCAGCAACGAGAACAAAGACAACATCGATCCATATACCTTCCTACCCTTTGGAGCAGGGCCAAGAAACTGTATTGGAATGCGATTTGCTCTCGTGATGATGAAGTTGGCCATGGTGGAGGTCCTGCAGAACTTCAGCTTTGTCACATGCAAGGAGACGGATGTGAGGAGACATTTGTTATATTTGTGGTCTTAAAATTAGCAATTTATAGTTCTGAGCTTTGATAGAGCTTCTGATTTTTTTTGTTTTTCCAGGTTCCATTGGAGCTGGGAGTTGACGGATTTACTACACCCAAGAATCCAATCAAATTGAAGCTGGAGCCAAGATCAACTGCAGCCGATTCTTCCTCAAGCTAACTTTGATATACAGGACCTGGCAACACTCATTATGCTTCAAGTCACCACTTTCTCTTCTAATCTGTGCATGATTATTCTATTATAATTATTTTTAGTTATTTATCCTGGATTGAAATCAATAGACCTGGCTTTATTGACAGATCTCAAGGTAACTTTTATATTTAACAATGTCCTCAACAGCCTAACAGTATAATTGAAAAACAATCAAACTGGATTCAGATAGGACAGAACTCATTGCAAAACGTGCATGCTGTTAAATAGCAATAACAGTATTTAATCTAGAGTAAATTAATACAATATAAGGAACTGGAGTTGGGTCAATGATTTGGCTCCTAAGGTTTGGTTTCACTAAAGAAAAAACACACATTTTGTCTCATTCACTGACACATATAAATACATAAAAATATAACATAATAATAATATGTAATAATTATAAACATAATAAAATATACCTAAAGCCTACACTAAAACTGTTCTGAGTCCTTTTCAAACATGCACTACACAATTAAATTGTGATATTTAACCACTAAACATGCACATTTTAACTGTTAAAATTGGTTTGGTACCATGATATAATGTGATCTGGTTGGCTGTGCTCTTTGCTCCACATTTCAAAAGGTAAGGAGTGCAGCTGAATGGGTGGGGCTCAGGAGGTTATACAAGTAGACCAACAGTAGATAAACCCGTTCTTGCTCTTCCTGGCCTTTTAACCAACATTTGATTCATACAAACACCATATAGGGTACATACAGGGTTCATACAAACACCATATAGTAAGTCGGGTAAATACTCCATGTTAGGATTGCTTGCTGATGTTATGCCACCTGGGCAAAGGCGTAAATCACAGCAAATGGCAGCAAGAAAAAGGGAGTCATGTGGAACAGGGAATCAGAGGAAGCAACACAGTTATTCAACCATGCGTGTGTGATTTGGGTCCTCGTGTTTTTTTTCTTGATAATATAATTATGAGCTTGATGATGATGATGATTGATTATTACCAATAAAGAGTTTGAACATATTCCGCGACTAACATCCTTTTTTCCCCACCATGAGTTGGAAAGTTCCCTCCAGTGGCCTTTTTTGGTTATAGATTGCCACTTCAGCCATACATAATGTAATAACCTGCACTTCAACTAAATAATAGTGTCAATTTTTGAAAATCATATTCACTTTTCTTCACAGTAATTTCTTGTAGCTTTGGTTATTTTGCAAAACAATGAAGAGGTTATAATCCATATTGAATGATTCAATGTTGACAAGGTGACCCAACAATGTATAATTTAGTTAATGTTTTTACACCCTAACGAAGTAATACATCCATAAAATGTCCCAGTATTTACAATAAAATCCATTTGTAATACAATATAGAGTAATTTAGAAAATCAGCTTGAATAACATTTACAAAATACTAATTTTAAACAAGACAGATTTGACTTAGTCACAAATATAAATGCCTATCATTATTTACACAATAAATTAAATGTGTTGAACAGATACATTTTTCCCGTGTTGTTGTGATGCTTATTACAGGTATTTAAAATGTAACTCATCATCATAGTAACTCCATGGGAACAAGACAAATAACTCTTAACATGCAGAATGACTTGTACTGGATTGGGCCAAAAGATAATACTTGTGCAAGTTATTAGAACAGTTTGATGTATGTGAGGATAACATGCACTGTTGCATTGTGAGAATGGACTGCTGATGTGAAGATTCTTTTTTTAATCTCTCAGCAACAAAGACTGAGCACAGTCTGGAGCAGATCCTTAAACAGCTTGTCAATCTGGTTTCTGCTTCTATGTTTCAACAACACATGGGTTTATAAAAAGCAATAGGAGAGGAACAAAAGTAGAGGTAAAGAACATAGATTAGACTATTCAATGCCTACCCACTCTCTATTCTACTTCACTGAATAACTGGCCTACTTTTAAATGTCAGGACATTGTTTAGAGGGGCTGATGAATCCCACCATGACCTAACACTCTCAAATTGTCAGATAAAAACACTAACCTCACAATGCTAATCCTTGTCTAGTGTGCTGACTGAACTCTACCTAAAATCATTGATGCCACATATACATTTCACTTTATTAAAATTCCAGTTAAGTCCATTAAATAGAATTATAATATGATTAAGCTGCAAAACCTGATGAGTCAACCATGCATTAGATATGTATGTCATGCCTGCTTGTTCAACTGCTAGTCGACACAGGGACACAAGAGAAGCGATACTGTCATTTGGCCATTAAGGGGAGTTAAAACACCACGTGAGACTAGACTATGCAAGTCCAAACAGGGTTTTCAGATTTTACCTTGATCATAGATATATCTTGTGACGTGCCAGTGGCAGTGCACGTTTAAGTAGACTGTCGTTTGTATCCACGCATATTTCGTATTTATTTTTTTATAGATTTTTTGGGGGGGCTTTCAGCTCACAAAACTGAGTCTTGAGTGCATTACATTACAAATTATAAAGATTTTAAAAATAAATAAATGTATAACTAATTAAGATATTCTAAAAGTAGGCCTATCGTCAGTGCATATTAATTCAAATTCAAGCTTGGACACAAATGTGCAGAAATCGACAAGAAATCCACACTGGACGTCCTAAACAAAGGGGTTTATCTCATAGATCCGGGAACGCCCCCTATCCCCGCCCTCACCGAAAAGCCAACCAGCCATTGGTCAGATTGCTACTCTGCGCCACATTGATTGGCTGGCGGCTTCGTCACTGAACGTCTGTTGTTCACAGTCGCCTAGAGCGAGAGGGCGCCTGTGACAGTGGGCTGCTTTGATTCATGCTGCTGTGAAGCCTCATTTTTGGACTTTGAGAACAATTAATGCGGCTGGAAAAGAGCGTATGAAGGTATGTTCTTACAGGAAAAGGTTGCGGGGAACATTTGCTTGCAGCTTCTAGAAGTTCCATCTCCAATTTGGTACGTCTTTATAGAAAGGAAGCGAAATGCGAAAGTCCATAGACAGTTCTGACACCCAACCCATATATTGGCTCGAAATGTTGGGGGGGGGGGCTAGCCATTTAATATGAAGTTAAACTTTAAAGTCTGTAAAAGACCAAACGTGGAATTTCTGTTGGAAAAAAAATCAATGCAATCTTTTTTATGATGATTATAGCAATTTGTGATATCCAGGGGTCTTACGTTGAGTTCATTTACAGGCTAATGGGTGTGTGCACTTCACTGTTATTGATGCAGTATTGATTTTAAAATAATCGCACCAGGCAATCTATACAAATAATTGCTAAAGTGGTGTTATTGTATGCCTGTACCACTTGTTCTGGCCTAAATTGTGCCTTCACGGAAAATAATAACAGTCCCTTGTGTCAGACAAAGGCCCAGGACGGCAGGTGGATCCTCGGCTGTTCCTCAGCAACCACTGCGAACATTTACTGCTTTGAAAACACTGAGAAGCCTGTCCTGCACATTCAGTACATGGGCTGAATGAGGCTGAGTAAAGTTTAACCGAGGCTTTGTTTGCTATCTGAAAGACATGGCTGTAATGAGAAATTGAGAGAGCAAGTAGACAAGCAGAAGGAAACAGTGACTCACATATTTTTGACACTTACCATATATATTAGTGCTCTCAAATTAGCTGTTCAATGCTTCTGTGCTGAGTGGAAATTTAGTTTATTGTGCTTTATATGTGAATACGCCTCAGGACAAGGCTGTTAAGATTACTTCAGTAGCAGTATTTTAAAAGCTAAACTGAATAAACCAAATCCAGGGGGATTCTGGGAATTTACTCTTGAGTGATGATTCCCATGGTGTGGGCATCCCTGGAATGCTGAACTGATTTTCCATGGTATGTTTTTACAGATATCTGGTGACACATAACAAGTTTGGCCTGCATTGACAGCCAAAAATCCAGACACAGACTAATAATTAAACTTTTATCACAGCGTGTGTGTGTGTGGGGTGCAGGACTGGAAACCACCCTCACAATACGTGTCAAGTTAGTGCTCCTGAATGACACTCTGTTGCTTTGCTTTCAATGTGTGGTGCGCCACAGAATGCACAGAGGCATTTGGATATGCAAGAAAGTCATCCACACAAGAGTGATTTAACCTTCACTGACAGTGAGGAGGTGAAGAGAGGTTTGTTTAAAGTGAGGACTGGTTTAACTTTTAATACACACAAGTGACAAATTCAAGTGAAAACCAGAACTAGCCCCCTTTTTCCTGACTTTGCATGGCTACAAAGTAACCTTCAAGCACATGATTAACACACTTATACAGAGCCACACTATTGGCACTGAAATTTAAAAAGCTGGAGTGACTTCATACTGTCACTCCACACTGTGAAACGTGTTATTTCTTGATTCTTTATGACTTGACCTAGCGTATGAATCATGGGATACCTTAAAACTGCGTACAAACAGCTACATTTTTACGTTGGTACTTGGAGCAAACTGGCTGCACCGTCACGTCGGACAGTTGAAACTAGAAAGAGAAGACAAAGATAGAGAAGACAGCTGTCCTCGGTCCCTCAGCATCTTAACATGCGGATATGCTAATGACTTCCTGTTTATAGTCCTGAGCACAACCAAGTGAGGGCCCACAGTCCCATCATATAGGGGCTCTGTGCCTGAAACTGAAAAATGCTCTCAGACAAACCAGCTTTAAGCACTTAAAAATCAATTTTCTCCCAAATCTCACAATATTATGAATTCCTGACTCAATAGATTTAGTTCATTTGTTTCTTACTGGAGGAATATTTCTCTAATTCTCCCTTTGTCTCCCTAGGATGAGAAGATGAATGTGGAGGCTCTAAGCAGGGCAGAGCTGTTGACTCTCCTTAGTATTTTGGAGGGCGAGCTGGAGGCTCAGGATGTGGTCATACATGCCCTCAGGGTGAGTAACACTCGACACTTAAAGATACGCCTATGGACTTCACAGTGCAGGACATCATCATCATCAACATACATTCCAGAGGATGGACACGTTATTATAGCTGAAAAAATAATAATATAGCCACTCTAGTAACTTATTTATCAAAACTTGTTCTTTTCCTGTTTGTTTTGTCGCTACTTTAGACTGCCTTAGACAGATAAATTAACCTGCTCCAGCGCTACAGCCTAAAAAAAGAATGTGAGCTAAAAGGGAGGGGATGTGTAATCAGGAAACAGAGCAAGCAAAAACAATGGCACAGGAGTCATTCTGGTTTCCCAGGCCTTTACTTCCACTAGAAAACAAACATCGCTCATCAGACCCGTCTGAATCTGACTCTAGTTCTGTTGGTTTGCTTTTTCTTATCTTTGATTTCAGCACTTGTTCAGGCCTGGATGTACAAGTTGTGACTAAAACTAAGTTTGTCAGTCTGCAGATCAAACCTGGTGTGTTTTACATGAGTCTTTTTTGACCATTTCTTTCAAATAAAGGAAAAGAAACTCAGTTGATGTTCAACAGAGAGGAGAACTTTGATCGCTATGTCGTACCTTTCCTCCTACTTCAAACCTTTCTAAGATTTTGTTGGCTCTCCAACTGTGAGTTGAACATAAAACATAGCCTACGAGGATGACTAGGCCATCTTTAAAGGTCCAGTAAAAAAGTGGAGTGCTACTTGACTCTGCATTTGTATGTGTTCTTAACTGAAATGGAAAATTGGAAGGGATCGGCACAGATATGGATTTGTTTAAAAGAAGCCAAAAACACTGAATTAAAACACAAATTTCAGTGTTTCAGTTGTCATGAGAGTGGGACATAAATGTAAGAGGGAAAACGAGTGAGTGCACTAAGTTCAGGATAAGTAATCTACATTTTATAATTTTAAGGATTTAAACGAAGTGTTCGCACATCCAACTATCTCATGAAGTATAGGCGCGTAGAACATTAAACTATCACATTGAAAAGAAAAAAATCCTGCACACTATTCTTGCTCGGCATCAGGATCAGAGGGAATGAAACGTTGTGATTTTTCTGATAAATTGGTGATGCAGAGTATGTGCATACGTTTTTCTTTTCAATATGATCATTTTAAGGATACCTCCAAATCCAAACAATTACCGTAGTTCAGGGGAACTCCAAAAGGCAGTGCAATATGAACATAAGAAGAAGGTTTTTTTTTTTACACAGTTAGGCTCATTCAAGCACTTCTGAGTGCAATAGCTGCTTCTCTTCTCCTCTGGTGCTTTGTCTCGTCTGATTTTCTGTCTCCATACCCCTGGCTGCTTCACACAGTCATTACCACAGCAGCTGCTCCATGAGGCAGCCTGACTCATTGTCTGAAGCAGTGACTGAGGTTGTAATGAGCACCAGAAGCAGCCATGATTGTTTTGGTGTGATGAACAGGCCTTGATGGTGAATTTTATCTAGTAAGAAAATGAGGCCGTATTCATGAGCGAATTTTAGTGCCAGGGCTTGAGGGCGAACCGATCAAACCACACAAGCTCAAATGGCAGCGATCCAGATCTGACGCATGCAGAGTTTGATCCCAAATTCATCACACAAACGCACACAGTCATCCCCTTTAAATGAAATGTACAGTTGCCTTGTTGTCTGTACTTGTTCCGCTATCCTGTTTTTCCTTCCTCACATACAGCCACATTACGGGGGGGGGTCTTTCATGTCTGACCATGACCCATGTCCTCTCTGCCCACTCGCTCACTCATACACACTCCGGTGGTCCCTGGTGGGCCACTTAGAGACTTCAGTGTTTATTGCAGAGAGGATGTACTGAGTTGTAGGCTCAAATCACTGACTTCCCTTGCCCCCACTGGGGACCAGTACACCATTTTTACTGACTGTGGAAAATTGCATGTGGACATGTTGCTGCAGAGAGGAGTGTCAGGGGTTGATAGCACACTCATTTGTCCAATATATATCTGTGTGTGAGTGTGTGCATGCATTGATCTTACATCACAAGAAGTCTGTTTGCATTGGGTTTTTTTTCTCTGTTGTGGATATTTTCCCTTTTATGGATCTTGATATTCCATATTCAGTTTTTCACTGATATGGCTGTGTGAGTGTGTGTGTGTGTGTGCGTGTGTGTGTGTGTGAGTGCGTGAGTGCGTGCATGTGAAATTGCATGTTAGGACGGTTGAGGAAGGTAAGAAAGCTCCTAACTCCTTTCTAACTTTTTTCAGCATTGAGCACTTGGGATGCCTGTAGATTGCTCGGGACAACTGCATTCACTCTTTTTTTTTTTTTTTTTTTAACCCTTTCCTTACCCGAAAACCCCTGAAAACTTGGAACTCAATCAGTGTTTGCTGACTCACTGACAAGCCGGCGTCACCTTTGCGACATGCCTCTACAGACTCTTGATTGTGTTGTTTTTGGCTCTCTTCCTTTAAGGCAGAGGTAGAAGTTATACTAGGGAACATTCCTAAAAACAACACCAGGAACAGAAAACATTTGAGTTGATGATTGTCTTTATCTATCTTTTCTATGTCAGGCATAAATGGTATTCAGCTGCATTGAGTAGACATTTTTTAAATGCCTGTAAAAGATAAGAAAACATACCTATAGTATGGGACAAGGACCTGCTGCTTTGGAAGCCAGGAAGTCCTTTATTGAATTTTTTTTTTAAACTTTTTTTTTCACAAAGTGAAGTGATGGGAAGATTTAAAAAGGTCTATGGAAAAATACTGCTGTTTGACAGTGCCTTTAGCTTTTTGTGGTAAAAAGTTGCAGCTATGCCCAGTATGCCCTGTTTTGCTTTTTAACATGATGTCATGTCCTGTAATCCTTAAATGCTTTGTCTATTTTTGCAGACTGACGTGTTTTCCTGACTCTGTAAAAACAATAGGGCCTGGTCAGAGTGTTTTGTTCAGATAACATTGTATATTCTGTCACTCTACAAGAATGAAAACTGCCCAATTTGGACACGTTGTCGAGATCACCAATACAAAATAGAGCATAAACAATACAGAGAGTGCACTTAAAAGTGAAGTAATACCTAACATAACACTGATGATGCACATTGGTCTCATGATGTCAGACAGTTCAGTGCTTTAATATCAAAAGCCTGAGCCTGAGGCCTGCAAGAGTAAAGCTCCCTGACCTGAAAATGTTCAGATGACATCAAAGTACCTGACGCTACCTTATTTCACTCATGGAAAGGCAAGGCAAGACAGCAATGATTAGTCCATGAGAGCAACATGGTGTGGCTGTTGTTTGCCCTCTTCTACGGCAGCCTCTCTTGTACTATTCCCAAATAGAAAGATGGATTTTTTTTAAATGGCAAAGAACTCCACCTCTACCTGGTATTTGCGCTGAACAGGAGTGTATTTAACTACCACCAATAAAACACTGATCGAGGAGGCTCAACCAGACAAAAGCAATAGCCATAGAGATAAGCACAATTACCTCTTTCACATAGAAGTTTATGTCAAGGTCAATGAATTGACAGTTACATTTCTGACCAAGTTTTTAAAAACATCAGAGCACATCCTTGTTCTACGTAATGACTAGTTATTTTCCTGAAGCATTGTCCGTCCAAAGGGTGAGAGCACCATCCGATACATGTTTCATCACTAACCACTAACAATTGCGTCCGAGACAGTTAAACATTACGTGGAAGTTGTCTCCCAGCATGGCCCATAAAGCAAAGTGAGGTTTTGTTTGGCTTCTTCCCTGTGATCTCAGTGCAATCTGTGGTTAGTGTGTGGGTGGAGGTGTGGAGAATACAGTTTAAGCCTTAAGCACACACCTTAGTTTACTCTTCAGAAAGCATGAACACTTAAAATCTCGTCTCTCTCTGTCTCTCTCTCTTAAACCGACTCATGTCACTGGGTCAAACACCCCCAAACAAGTCCGTTCTTCAACCCTCACCGTTTGAACCCTCTTACCATTTGGGGATGTTGACAAAATCTTTTCACAAGCTTTTGTCCTGCAATAATAGTTAATCCTTCACTCAGCGTCCCATTTTACCAATGTTTTTCTTTGAATCTGCAGACCATTTTTGCAGTGGTGATTCTAGTGGGACTGCTTTCCTTTCTTCTTTCAGAAAAACTAGTCCGTTTAACCTAGGTATATTGTCTGGGGAAAATGGACAATAAGTAAAAACTGAGCCCCGATGAACCTATTGAACAAAAAAACTAGATCTCTGTTAGCCTCTGAAGAAAGTTGATGATTATACATACTTTAATAAATCATTTACAGGAAGGAACAATGTCAAAGCAGCCTGAACATAAGAACATTCAGACACATAAAAACTACCAAAAAAGAAACTCCAAATCTGAACATAAGAACATTCAGACACATAAAAACTCCCAAAAAAGAAACTCCAAATCTTGCTTAAGACAGACATTTTTTTCCCTTCAGTAGCCTAGAGACAAAACCAGAGTAAACATTAGAGTCAATATTGCTGATAAATGTGTCAAATGAACGCTAATGCATTGCTCTCTCTCTTGTAGATGTGTGTTGTTTGCTATAGCACATTAGCTAAAACTACAGAATAGGCTAATGTTTAATTGTAAGTCTCGTTGTCTTTTAGCTTGTTTGGCAATATTCTGCCAATTTGTGATAAAAAAAAAACAAAAAAAACAATCAATAAATCCTTCCTACATTTGTAATGATGCTTCTCCACGGTTGACTCAGTCATATCCTGCCCTGTTGAGCTAATGATTGTGTTATTGATTTCTTAGCCTAGCTTAGCTTCATTAGTCCCCAGCACCAGACTAACACCAAACTCTTTAAAGTGTTTGGACAAACTAAGGCAAGGTGTAAGTAAGTGATAAGTGTGGGCAAAGACGTATTGGAGACATTTTTTTTTTTTTACTCTTAATGGTGTTTATTTGACTATTTCTTGTGTCTCATAGATGTAACAGGACTAAATTTTCTCTTATGAGGACTTCATTAAACGTTAACTAATTTCAAGCCACATATAATTTTCATAGCCACATATGGACAATGTGTCTTGTTTCCACTTCCCATTTGGTTGGAATGTCCCTGTTAGACTGTTCAGTAATTTCTTAATGCCCTAATGACCAAGTACCAACAAAATGGGTCAGTCCTTTGTGTCCAATGGAGTTTGCAGCTTCAGCAGCTCTGTTAAACCAGACCTGATGGTCAGTGGATTGATACCTTTCACCTGCCAAGGCCTGTTATTCAACATGGCTGACAAGTGGTCATTGCACTCTATTTCTTCCTTCATTATCAAGTAGAGCAGAGTAATAACAATCCCAGAGGAGTAATAAAAAAAACTACATAAGTTAAGTCTTGCTTCCTCATTCAAGAAATCACTGAAGCCACGTGGATAAACCTGATAAGCAGCATCATCCAACAGTAGTAGTCTGCAGCTGACATTTTAAACTACATTTTATTTGTTTTGAAAAGCAGAAGAGATAAATAACACCAGCATCTGATGTCTGTTTTTTTGCGGTTGTTGTACCAAAAGTGAAATGTTGGAGCATCATTGTCTTCTGCCCTCCTGTTTTTCTGAAGACATTTTAGTTTCTTGAAAGAAGCCTTTCATATCTGACAGGTTTGGTCATGCTGTCCTTTTGTCTTCTGGGTGTCTACGGTTCCTCTGGCAAGCAGCAGGCTAATTCAAGAGGAATGCATACTTTTCCCATAACCCCCTACTGCAAAGCTTCTGGATTTGAGGTGTTACCCCAGAGACAGCCAGTTATGCTAAGAACCTTATGCAGCATGGTGCACACAGTGGGGTACACATGTGCCAGCTGCAGGCTGATAGATGCCTATGCGTACAGATATGTGCCTGCATATGTAGAAATTAGAATTTGTCTTTCATCCGCTATCTTCCATGGGAATTAGATTAAGGGCTAAACCGTGAATTTGTAACTGGAGATCTGCACTCAATACCATTCAGAGGTGCAATTTTGTCTATGCTGGCTCCCAACGTAATTGTGTGAGGCTCAGTGAGGAAACCGGACTCCCTGGCTCTTTTCAGTTCTCACAAGGACGTGATTGTGCCCTTAGGCTGTGGGTAACTGACTGACAGAGACTATTCCAGGTGAAAAACATCGGGTTGTCTTTCACACCTTGTTACAGCTGCAGGAATGCAGCAGAGGAAAATAGAACAAGCTGCAGCACACCCATTTGCTTATTTTGTATCATTTTGTAGGGAAATTCTTCATTATTTCATGCAAATTAAAAAAACAAAATGAACGATTGTTAAGTATTGGACCAAAACATTTGAATCAATAGCCAACCAAATGTTTATTTGTGGAAACATTTCCTTCCTTTTCAGGTCAGAAATGAGAGAGTTTGTTTTAGAGATGGTTTGCTTGTTGTGCCCTCTCATGAAGAAAAGCGCACTCTGTCATTATGATCAGAACTATCCTGAGAAAAGCCTGGGAGACCAGACCCTAAGCTTGGACTTCTACACACACACACACACACACACACACACACAGAGACACAGAGTCACACACACAATCCAATCTCAGCCCGGCCCTTAATGATCTCTTTAAACTGTTATTTACCTCAGGAAGCTACAGATTTGTCTCCTGCTAGACGAAGGAGCTTTACAGCTTTACTCTAAAGCCTGGCACAAAAACACAGGCTCACAGCCACAGGTAAACACACGCACAATGGCTTACACACACATGCACATTTATATTTAAATAATAAAGGATAAAAGAGACACAAAATGCTACACACACACACACACACACACACACACATACACACACTTGTACCCACTCTTGCACAACCAAGCCTAACATGCCAGCCATGGAGACAATGCATGAGACTGAAGGCATTGAGACAGTGTCTTTGTTGGAGTCCTGTAATCTCCTCACTGAGGGTCACATTCTTTGTGCAGGCCTCAAATGCAGCCTCCTTACTGATGCCCTCAGGGTTTGTGTGTGAGCGTGTATTTGCGAGAGTGTGAGAAAAAAAGAGGCTGACAGAGAGGCGGAAGTAGAAAGAGGCATTTTTTCTGAGAAATGATGATGATGAAGTGGCAGAGGAATGCTTTGCCGTGCATGTTTGGGCGGGGGGGGGGGGGGACGAGGGGAGCCATGAGAAGCAGGGTGTCTGATGAGGACTGCGTGGGGAGACACAGTGACGGGTGTCCCGAAAGGCACGTGGAGAGAACTCTACGGCATGTGCTGACATCACTAGCGCTGCCAGCTGACCCTGCATGCCTCTGGAACTCCAACCTGCTCTGTGCATGTAGTTAATGAGACCTCCTGATGATCTCTCAGGGTGACCCGGAGGGAGGTCAACAAGGCCTGATTGCCCTTTCACTTTTCCTCTTGTGTCTTTTTTTTCTCTTAAAAAAAACTTTGATAGTTTATGGTAAACATAAATAAGTTTACTCCCTCGCACCATTTCAGTCACCCAAAACCTTTTTTTCCCCTGATTCAATTGTGTTTAATGTTTAGGTATAATCTTACTACCTCTTTATTAGAAGAAACTGTGTATGTGTGAGATTTCATGGCCCAGTCCTTCACCCCTGAATCCCTGGGGAGCAGTTAACATCTGCCCCTTGTGGGGGTGGGACAGCCGTGCCTCACCTCTTTGTGTTTTGGTTTAGGGGGAAGACCATCTGCTTATGCTCACACTGACAAAAACATGACTCCATGCAGATTTCCTGAACACACACACACACACACACACACACACACACACACACACACACACACACACACACACACACACTGTCTGTTTGTAGATGTTGGTGGGCATGCCTATAACAAAGTCACTTCTTGTTTTTCTTACACTCATCTTATCACATTTTTAGACAGAGACATCATTTAAATTGAGCAAAGCAAGTGTTATACACGGGTCAAAAACTCATCATGCATTTTTTTTTTTTTTTTGGTGTGTGTTTCCATCAGGCTCAGCACAGAGACGCCTTCGTCCAAGAGCGTTATGGCCAGTATGACCTCAGCGATCCATTCCTGGCCCTGCAGCGGGACAGTGAGTCAGAGGAGCGCCAGGACACCCTCACCCATCAACACACACACCTGCAGGGCCGTGCGGTGACCACCAACCCCCTGGCTGTCCTTAAACTGGTCATGGCTCACTGTAAGAGGATGCAGGAAAGGATGATGGGACAGTTGGCTGCTGCTGAGAATCGACACAGGAGGGTGAGATACAATTCACACAATGTCCCTCACATACAGCGTGTTCGCCAGCTCACACGTCTGCATTTTAGATTTGCATGTTCAGGCTTCAAACAGTCTCACACTGGGGGCTCCCACTTGCACAATAGGCTTGTTGTGTGTGTATAAATGTGCGTGTGTATGTCTATTTGTCTCCATGTTTTCCCTGTAGACCCAGCTTTTTGGGAGCTAGGCAAACAAGACAGCGGTCCCACCCAGGGCTTAAAAGGCTGATATGGGGATTTAATCACAGCTCAATGTCTGAAAGTTTATGGAAGCCATAAACACTTTTCGCGGGAACTTTTCTGAGTTAATGAAACTGACAAAACCTTGGAATGAAGAGGAGGTTCTGCTATGGAGGCTGATTTGTCAGGGGAGAAGTTTCACAGCAGCACTGTGTGTGGCAGGAAACTTCTTATAAGTAAAAATAAATAAATAAATCAAAGGAGCGTAATAAGCTTGTCTGAGAAGGAACAATGTCCAATAAATGTTTCATAAGGCTGTATGTTTGATAGATGATAGCTGATCTGGAGGAGGAGAAAAGACGTCATGCCCAGGACTCTGCACACAGTGATGACTTCACCTTCAAGCTGCAGATAGAAAAAGAGAAGCTGCTACAACAGGTATGATTACATGTTTGGTAAAATATGATTATGATTGGTAAAGATGACAACATGTGAGCCAAATTGGTGCTCACAACTTTAACTTCCTGATTAAAAAAAAGCACACATCTTTTGTCCTTCTTCTCAGTGGTATCTTGTTTTTAAAACCTCAGTGCCTGAGCAGGGAAACATCAGTGTTATTCTATTGTGTAACTCAGTGGGATGGAGGTGGGCTTGCCCTGTTAAAGTACAGACACACATAGGCCCAGGGCTGTTCCATAGGAAACAGAGGAGGAAGAGGCCATTGTTTAGTCGTCCAGAAGCCACGGGGCTTTATGGCCCCAGGAAACCTGAGATAATGGATGTCCATGTCTAATGCAAGGTCAGCTCACGCACACACACATACACACACTGTGAGCATACGATCAGCGACTTTACAAAGTTCACCCAGGGGCCTTATGTAAGAAAGGCTTCCTGAGTGTCTCCTGGTCTTCCTCACGCCTTCCCGACAGTGTTGTGTGGTTTTTTTTTTTGGTTTTTTTTGTACTGTAATCATACACACTACATTGTATTTCATCACCTCATGTTTCCCTCTGTTACTCATCAAAGCCTTTAAGCAGCAGTCACCTTCTGATGACCTCACGCTTTAATGAACTTTCCGTAAACATGCCAAGCAAGCCAATTGTTCTCTCACAGAACGAACAACTGCTCTTTTTCCCCTTCAACTCTGAATAAACACAAACTTTTTGTAACTTTTCTATAATCAGCAGAAATGTATTTCTAAGCTGACGTCTTGATAGGGACCAAACAGTTGAAAAGGATAAAGTACCGTAATTGGTTGCCTTCAGCAATTTTCAATCTCTGTGGTTCTTGCTGTCTAAGTGGGCCTTTTTTTTCTTTTAATGAAGCATAAAATACAGACTTTACTTGATATGATACAAAGGCAAATTGAATCAAATAATGAAGTCACTAGAGACACTTTATGAAATGTTATTAGCAAAAGATAGAACCCTTTAATAGACTGTTTCTTAATAGATCCAAAAAGGCAGAAAAAAAGGAGAAAAAGCATCATCAGTTCCGGCTTATTCAGCAATATTCAGCTATAGTTCACAGTTGAAAGGATTTAATGACAAAAAACAAATCTAAATGTTCTATGGCAATAACAAAAACAAATGTGGAGAACGGTTGGATGATTGATAAAAGGAAAATGTCTAGTCCTGCTGAATCTAGGGTATGAAAATAGTGTTCTCTTGCCTCCTTGTGGTCAAACCTGGAAATGCTGCCTTTACCTTGACTCTTGCAACTGTCTCTTTCTCTTTTTAGTTGGAAGTAGAGCGTGCCACGGTGCGGAGGTTAGAAGACGAGCAAGTACAGGCAGTGAGCCAGGTGGAGGAGTCACTCTCGCAGCAGCAGCAGCTCTCCTCATCTCTCACTCTGGAGCTAAAGAAGGCCAGCAGCCTGGCTCAGGAGGAGACCCAGAAGGTCTCCCAGCTTCGCACCTCGCTCCAAGAACAGACCTCCGCCTTGGAGAAGCTCCGGGACGTTCTTCAGGAAGAGAAGAGCAGGGCTGCCCAGCTGGAGGCCAAGTCTGAGAGGCAGCTGGCCGAGTTTAACACAGAAAGAGATCAGCTGACGGCCACGATCAGCAAAGAGGAGGAGAGGAGTAGGGAGCTCGAGAAGCAGCTGGAGGAGCTGAGGAAGAGGTTGGCTGAGACTGGAGGATGTAAGGAAGAGGTAAAGGAGGCTGTGGCAGAAGTGACAGAGTCAGTTTCCGAGGTGATGGTGGTGTCTGACTCCGTTCCGACTGAGACAGATGGAAAGAAAGCGACTAAATCTCCATCAGTGTCAAAGGTCAACGGCTTTCACACTCAAAAAGAGACAGAGCTGGAAGGGAAAGGGGCAGAAAATGGAGCAGTTGTGGAAAATGGGGGAGGAGTGCACTTGCATTCGCCTCTTCACCCTCATCTTCACCCTCATCCTCCCTCTCCGTCCAGCACAGCCTCCTCTTCCCTCTCTTCCTCACCCATCTCCTCCCCTGTTCTCGCCAAGCGTCTGGGTAGCCCCGGCTTCCATCAGTCCTCCTACCAGGTCGGAGTCAACCAGCGTTTCCAGGCCGCCAGGCACAAGTTCCAGAGTCAGGCCGAGATGGAGCAGCAGCTGCACGGTGGCCCCCTTTCCCCCAGGGACCTCTCCCCCACCACCACCACCACCACCTCCTCCTCCGTCCTTCCCCCAGCAGAGCACAGCACAGCCAAGCAGCTGGCGCGCAACACAGTCACTCAGGTGCTGTCCCGCTTCACCAGCCAGCAGGCGGGTGTCAAGCTTGCACCAATCAGCAGCTCCCCATTTGGCACAGACTACCGTAATGTAGCGGCAACTCCTCCAGGAGGGAGGTCGCCATCTTCGGGGCCTTTGTCTCCGGGCATCCGCTCCCCCCTCACTCCTCGCTCAGAGAAAATCCATCCTCCTCCGATCCCTCCCAAGAAGCCAGGCATGAGTCCCACACCAGGCTCTCCGAGTCACTCTTCTCGGAGCAGCCTCTTCCCAGAGCTGACGGGGAACTGTGGCCACAGCAACACTGGGCAAGAAGGGAACAAGGAGCCAGACCTGCTTTTATCTTCTAGTAGCTAACAGCCAGATCATGCACACTATCTCCTATATCGTGTCAGGCCTAAATCAACAGTCATATTTAATCTTACCAGCCTTTAAGGCACTTCATAAAGCTCATAAACAGAAGATTAGACACTTTAAAGTCAGAAGGGTCCAAATTAATGGATTTAAAAGTTTGTTGAAACCCAGCTTCACCTATACCAGAACCCAAAAAAACAATCGGAAAATAACTGTTTTGATCATAATATAGTAAATTACAGTTTGTCAAAGTATGATTTCATATTTTTAGTCTGAATTATTTGTTAAGTCTAAGGTTTAATAATGGAAATATTTATGCTGTTTTTCACTGAACACTATATTAAGGATGATTGGAAGCCATATACAGTTAAAAAAAAAAAAAAGAGCTCAGCATAAGTGTTGTTCGGCTATGAGGTAAGAATTGATCATATTTCATTGTATAAAACTCCTTTTACTTTCACTTAATGCTCAAATTGTTGGTCCTGCTAGATCACATAAAAGATTTAGGTCAGAAGCGAAATTAAAGAGCTAGTTTTTACATGTCACATGTAGAGTATAGCAAATATGTAGCTTTCACCATTTAACAAAAGAAAAAGTGTCGTTTTTCAACATGTTTTTCACTTTTTTCTAATAAATTTATTCTGGAGATGGTCCTTTCAAACAATATGATAATGTAAATAGTTTATATGGAATTGGAAGTTGATTTTCTATGAATGAAGCCATGCATGTGCTGTTTTTCTTTCTATTACACTTGTCATGAATACACTGAATCTTCTCTTAAAAAGGGACACTGTATAGTGCTACAAATTAAAATACTTTATATCTACCATGTTCAATGTTTTTCAGGGAAAGTTCATTTCTGCTTCTCCCAAACCAAGAAGGACTATAATACGAGTCTTCAAGTTATTCCATTCATGCCCATGATAGGGTTGTAAATCTTGCTACTGCAGCTGTTGTTTCTAGTGTTTGTTGAATCTTTTTTTATTGTACACCGATCAGAAGTTTGTTTTATGTTTTTTTTGGCATTAAAACTAATACTTGATGCAAAGTATTTATTTTAGCCAATTATATGTGTAGCTTTATACACTGTATTTCTGAAGGGCATTTTCCCTCAGCTGTCTCTAGTAAATATGAACCATGAACCCCTGCACCATCTAATGCGATTTCAAATAAACTGTCTATGCCTTACAGTTCTGTTTGTCAACCTTTTTCAATAAAATCAGATCTTTGGCAACCCTTTGAATCGTTATCTGCAAGGTTTTGTGTTGAAATAACAGCCTAGCAAGCAAAGATGTTCAATCCATTTATTTGTACAGCAGAATGGGGCAGTACAGTCTCAAGAACTGATCGGCACACAGTTGCAGTTTAGTGTGAAGGTTTAACAGTGCACATAATATAGCTAACAAGTCACTGATCAAGAGTCAGCCTACTTCAAAGTCATGTAACACTTACAGTATGATGTGGCCTTACAGAAGTTATGGAACATATACAGTATATGATGTCGCTTTACACAGCAACTGCTTTGCGTTCACTTGGCATTGACCAATACACAAACGGTCGTTTACAGTGAAGAGTGCAATATCCTAAGTCTCCAAACAAAAACCAGCGTATTAAAATAGAAATTTGCATACATGGATAGAAGGATGGAGTTCTTTACCATAGGAAAGAGATTTTGGCAAATAAATCTGGGATAATACGAGTCCGTTTTTCCTTTCACAGAGGAAAAGCTGTACAGCAATGGAGGTGGGGTTGTCAAAGTAAGAGAAAATGCATTCTAGATGCAGCAGCGTCAAAGTTGCTTTATCTTCATTTCAGTCATCGTAGCTTGCACGGGCAAAGAGACGTATACATCAGCGGCGCACAACAGAAAACACGTCAATATTCCTTCATCCCCGACAGACACTGACAAACAGAGAAAGTCTAACGTGCAGGAACAGAGCTATGCTGAGGATCCTGCTACTCTGAAATGTTAGGACAGGTAGAAATACAGTCCAAATCCCTGGAAACATATCACAATGTGCCGTTTCCGTAAAACTAAGCTTGTTAGCTACAAAAGGTTACTACTTCCAAATTCAGATTCAAGTTTTTTTTGATGCAGCAAATTTTAAATAAACAATGACACCAAAACATTCACAAACTTCATATTTATCCAGTCTGAAATCAAAACCCTGATATGGGATGGTGTGCTTTATTTCTGAGATCAGCTGCCTTGTGCGGTCCTGTTTCCTTTCCCTGTGTGCTGCTGACAAGTAATGTTACTTGTGAAACCTTGTCCTACGGAGGTCTGTGATTTATTAGATAGCCAAAGGAAGATTTGCTTCTGTAATGTAGCAGTCCTGAGCACAGCCCTACACACTGACCCAACACAAATCCAGAAGAAACCACTAGTATCTCCATGACCACATCTTCCTTACAGCAGATGGATATCTGTGCCTAACAGTCTTCAAATCTTCAGTTATGCTTTTTTTTAATTTTGTTATTATTCCTTGCCCCATACTGATATAGTTTTGCTTTGGTTAGTCCTTGCACATGTATAAGTGGGTTTGGGGCCAGTGGAGTGTGTGTGTCTCCCTGGTCAGTCCCTGGCCTTCCTCTAGACATTCTGCATCTCCTTGCCAATTTTGTAACTTAGAATCTTATTCCAGTCAATCTTAGTGCGTGTGACGGGCAGCTGGCGACGCAAGGCCTTGAAGGTGGTGTCCGACATGGTCTGGTAGTTCTCACTGATTGCGGTCTTTAGGGGAAAAGAAGTGGAGAGAAACACATCTTCAGTACAATATTTATTTTGCTTTTTCATTAAAATGGTTCAGCATTTTATGTTTTAATAAAACTAACATCTGTCATTGTAGTCACATCCATAGAACGTGTATTGACTACCAGAGCTGAAACTGTTGTATTGGAATTTTCTAATGGACATTGGTGAAAAGATGTTTTGTAGTGTTATATTTTAGTATATGTATTAGGTATCTCCTCTCATATTTAGTGTTTTATTTGGTAAAATATTATTGAATGTTGTATATTTTACAAACGTTTACACAAAGGCCTTAATAGGGCCCAGAGTTTGAAATTAGCAATAGCTTTAAACTCTGTGAAGCACATCGGCATCAGATTGTGAACTGACACTTTGTTCAATTACATTGTCCCTATTAAAGAAATAAAAATTTCAATTCAATTCATTATATGGTAGCTTACCTGGTAGTCATTTTCCGCGTTCTCAATGATGTCAACAAATTCCTTGGCTGTCTGGCTTTCATTCTGTTACAAAAACATATTCAACATTTTGTCAATTTGTCATTGACTGAGATAACCTTTTGCGTATGAACCTGAAGTTGAATTATTCAGTCTTAAAGTATGTATACAACATGAGGTGTAGCCCCCTGCTAAAAGACTAAAAACAATGTTACTTACAGTCACAGGTATTGATTCTTCTACCTCTTTATGACTAACCAGTTGCACATTCCCATCCTCATAGTAGTGCACCTGGATACAGAAGAACTCCATTAGCAAGCTGAAGTTTTTGAAAAAAAATAAACCACCTTGACGTGTAATTTATGTAGTTGAGATCACTGAATTCATTTCACCTGAATTTTTAACACTCCCACCACCTGTGCAGTGGATTGACCGAGGGTAAGCTTCCACTCTGACCGACAGCGCCCATTCCTGAGTTAGAGACATGAAGAGAAGCGTTTTATTTTAATAAGACTTAAGCATTACTAAAACTGAGAGAGAAACAAACAGCTGTTTGTAGGAATATAAATATACCAGAAGTTTTTGGGTTGAAACTGATGTCCTTCAATGCAGGCTATGACTGTTTGCTGACCATCAACCGTTTTCCCATATACCTGCCATACAGAGGTGGTATGGGTAAATATGGCTATGGGTTAATTGGATTTGATATTGCACAGATCACAGTTTTGTCAAATGATTTTGGTGTTCCTTACAGTGCAAACTCCAGAGGGGTAGTGCTCTTTGACATAGGCACTAAGGGAAGTATCACAGGCATCTCTCCAGCTACTCAGGGTCGTCTCTCCTTCATATGGCTGCACGTCACTCACTTCTTTTCTTAGGTGGTCAAAGCGGAAAGACAAGCAGTTACGGGGGTCAAGGAAACGTCCCTGGCCAAGGTCACCATGCTCTGTGATCAGGACCTACAAAGAAAAGAACAGAAGTTGGGCAAAGTCTGGCTTAAAAATGTGCTCATCTGGAATAAAGGAAAAAGACTGAAGGATGAATAATACCGGCTCGTCGTAGCCCTCTAGTTTGGCAGGAGTGAACTGATCCATGTTATACTGGGCAAAGGAGCTGGACAACAGACAGAGGTATGATAAGCACTCGTGATTCGACACCAAAACATTCTGCCAAAAAGTGTTTTCCATGACATATTAGGAACATGGATCATGCTAAAGATCTGTCAATGCCTAATATGTAATAAGCAACAATTTGCAAATACTTGCCAAATAAAAAGTCAGAAATGTTTTGCTTAAATGAATACTACTTACTGTGACGCACCCTCCCTGAGGAGGTTGTCATTGTTGAGAAGAAGCCGCACATCTACAAAGACAAAAAAAAGACAACAACAGAAAAAAGACAAAAATAAATCACTACTTGCATAGATCTTTATGAGATATAAAATACAATTATACTGTTAGAGGCAAAATAAATCTGTTTATTGATACTGTATAATTGAATATGCATGTTTAAATTGGGTACTTCTTACCATTGAAGACTTCATTGAACTCTCCTGGGGGGGCATGAGTCACAAAGTTGGCCGCAATGCGAACCTAATGATGAAAATAATTGAAGTGATCAATTCATCCTTCATGGTAATATGTGCCTACTGTTCACTGAGCACAAAGACAACAACCAACACACTTAACTTACTGGAACTGCGATATTAAACTTACAATAAGTACCACAAATCAAAGCTCTTTAACAAGACTACGATCAAAACATTTGTATTGAACATTTTCTGTAATGTGTGTCAACGATGCATATAAAATTGCAAGCATTTTCAGTAACCAGTATATTGAATAAAACTGACTAATAAGAAGACAAACGGATTAATTGACCCAAACATATGAAGAGCATTGCTTCAATACACTTCACGTTTAAGGTTTAACTCTGAATAAGAAACTGCTTGTGTAGATTTTTGTGGCATAAAACCATGTCCTCATTTCCTCTGTTGACCATCCCATGTTTTTAAATCTCATGTGTGTCCATGTGTTAGGAGAATACCCAAAGTCTTGTTTCTAGCTTTTACACAACCTATGAGTTTTTCATGTGATTGTCTTGTTGCTTACCAGGTAAACACAACCGTCTGACTGCAGCCTGTCATTCAGTGTCATTAAACTAAAGTGGTAATGTGGCCAGCTGACACAAATGTTACAGATGGTGTCACTATCAGGCTGCACCTACTCTTTAGACGCCCCCTATCCTGATCTGAAGCCATGTGACGGTGAGAAGTATTTGAGCTGAAATTGAATCTGGTTGACCCAGAAATCCAGAGCAAAGTAACGTTAGCTGCTAATGTTAGCTAACGTTATAAGAGAGGAATACGTAGCTCACACTGTCATGATTGCAGGCTGACAGTGTGCACAACAAGACTGCAAAGAATCGGGTATCGCTTCATACATAACCTATCATTTTTTATTCATGCATAACTTCTTGAAAGTTTGTTTTTGCCCAGGGTTTAAACCCCTCAATTTGATTACGCCGCTAACGAACTAAGCTTTTACTAGCATTGGATAGTTGGCTAGTGGTAGCGTAAAGACACAAGTTTATCATTTCCATGTGTAAACAAAAACGACATTCTTTGTTTAAAACTTCAGCATTAAACCATCTGAAAATGAGACAATAGCAACTCCTTAAAAAATAAGGGGGGAAAAAGCCTTGAGCAAAGAATTTAAGACTCCAAACCTTCTCTTCATCTGACAGCGGCTCCTCAAAGTCAGCCATCTTGGCTCTTTGTGACCCCACCTACCCAAACTGACTGACAGTAACTGCAACTCGTTGTCATATAGGTGTAATTTTAGGTAAAAACGTAATTTTAAAACGTGTTCAATTCAAATTTATGTTTCACTTTGACAGACAACGATACACCAATTAATTCGGTAACATTGCGTGAACATATTTTAAAATAACAGTGCGTTGATTTAAAAAGTAATTTAATTGGTCGTGTGCTTCCGGTTGAGAGTTGTGCAGTTGATACGCCTTCAAACTAAAACAAGAGCCACATTAAAAAAAGATGATAGAAAAAAAATCCCACATGAAGTTACCCTTTCAAACTGGCCGGCATGTATTTAATACTCCTGTATGGCATTTTAAACATCGATTATTTCGTTGTCTTTGTTCTTACTCAAACTGTTTACCTGTGGGTGTAACTTTATTTTTCTAAGTTGACACCGGAAGCTTAAGCAGATGTTACGTTCGTTCTTTCTCGCTTTGCAATGGAACACCTACTCCATTGTATTCTTAACGACTTGGTATTTGCTGACTAGCGACACACACCGTCTCTATCATGGAGTCACAGGTATGAGGAGACTATGCTGACTTTTTCTTTGATTCTGAACAGATACAGGCCTACACAATTTATCCGAATATATGTGAAAGCGTGTAGCTCCTGTTCATTACGTTGTCATGCCAGTTTTGTAAAGAAGAAAAGCAGAGAGTCAGTGATCCTGTTTGCTGTGAGCTGCTACAGGAACTTCCTGGTCAAATTAAATCCGCCTTGTTACAAAAGGACAACCTTGTTTTATTTGTTTATTTCTTGTAACTCAGCCGTTGCTTTCCTCAGTTGCAAGAAGATATTGTTTGAATATTTGACCGGACTTTTTGTTTGCTGTACAAACTTGTGTATGGCTGGCTGGCTAGCTTACTAGCTCGGAAATGAATAGGGCATTGTTTACCATGCGACAGTTTGTATCGCTGAGGCGCAGTTTGAGTCATTCTGCCGCTTGTTATCAGGTGGTTACCAACCCTGAGGAAATTGTCCGACTCTACAGAGAACTCAGCCTCTTCCCTTCCTTGAGCAAAGCAGATTTGGGACCTGTCATCACTTCTCAGTATGGAGGCAAATACAGCAACATCTACACAGGTAGACTTAAACTTTGCAGATAATACTATTTTCTGTGTCTGTACTTGCAGGGAAGTTGATCGTTGTTTTTTTTTTATTATTATTAACTTTCCTCTGCAGAATGGAGCCAGCGTGACCTGGAGAGGAATGAGAATGTCAAGTTTTGCAGACAGTACATTGTATTCCACGATGACAAGTCGGTGGTCTTTTCTGGGGCCTCTGGAAACAGCACTGAGATCAAAGGAGAGTATGTAATCATTTTCACATGTTGTCTGTAAGGGATTGATTAAGTTCTTGTAGAGCTAAACCCTGAAACAACTGACCCATTAATTGTGTTCCTCCTGACAGATTGCTCAGTAAAGATTCCCCTTCAGGTGAAATGAAAGCTGTTGTCAGAGAGTGCACAATCAAAGGAGAGGACATACAGTTTCTTGAGGTGTGTGGTCTGTCCGTCCGAAACAACCTTTCTACCCTGAAAAATGCATCCTTTCCAATTTTAAATGACCCCTTTTGGGTTTTTATCTACATCTATCTTTCAGTCATCTGTGCCTGGGTGTAAAATGTTTTGACTCTCTGTGATCTTTTAGATCTGGAATAAAAACATCAAGACGAAGAGCATCAATCTAACAGCTTTAAAGAAGCACGGCAAAGTCTATGAAGATGGTGAGTCCTCTGCACTTTAGATAACTGTTTGTATAAAATCTTGCCTTTTAAATTTGCCGTTCAGGTGTCAATAACACTTTGTTTGACTTCCATAGACCAGTTTGGCTGCTTGGTTTGGTCCCACTCTGAGACCCACCTCTTGTACGTGGCAGAGAGGAAGAGGCCTAAGGCAGAATCTTTCTTCCAGGTCTGTTAGCAAAACTGTGTTAATCAATAAAAGTAGTAAACTATGAAGGGCAGCAAACAGCTGCAGTGTTCACGGTGTCTGCCAATTCAATACTAGGGTTGTATTCAATACTGCCTGCATCTAACAGTGTGTATTATTTAAGTAATGCATTGTGCAAACAATGCCCAACATTTGAGTGTTTTGTTTTACAATGCTAAGCTGTGAAGAGATTTACACTCAAAACAAAATCACCACACTGGATCACATTTATCTCAAAGCACACAATCTAAGTAAGCGTATCACTGAAATGCAGACTTCGACATTTAAAAAATGTCTTCAATTTAAATACACTCCTGGTATTTTCCATTGCTTTTCAAAATGAAAATGCTTTGACAAATTCACACTGATATGGGTGTGGCCCTAACAAGCAGGAAAAGCAGGTTTCAGCCTTCCAAGTAATTTAATCTAGATAAAAATATTTACTGTAGGAGTGTGACATTCATTTGTGAGATAATGTCAGACTAGTTGCTATAAAATCTTTGTTCTATTATATCGTATTTTTTCTTCATGTTTCTAGGCTGACTCATCTGTGTTGTCTTCCACTGGAGATGAGGAGGAGACCACACGGGTGGAGAAAAAGGAGGCTGTGAAAGTGAATACAATGAATACTTTCAAAAACATACAAGATTTTCACTTTTCAAAAGTGTCGTTGAGTTATCAGTTCACATTTGACTCCGGCTTTAGTGAAAGTGTTTTTGTGTTTTTATCCCTGCAGGGGGAGCAGTTTGTCTTCCGTGAGGACTGGGGAGAGGCACTGGTTAGTAAGAGCTGTCCAGTGCTTTGTGTTTTGGATATCGATGGTGACAACGTCTCTGTGTTGGAAGGAGTGCCTGAAAGTATCTCACCTGGGCAGGTTGGTACAGCAGTCTGTGTGTCAGTTCAGGAATCTTTTTGTGCATTTGTATTGCTATTGCTACTAGGCCTGCTGTTGTATTTTTTTAAACTCTGTTTCTTACTCTGAAGGCATTTTGGGCTCCAGGGGACACAGGTGTGGTGTTTGTAGGCTGGTGGCATGAGCCTTTCAGACTTGGCCTCAAGTACTGCCCAAACAGGAGGTAATAACATTTTCTTTACTGAGAAGAATGACCTCTTGCTGATCAGAAATGTCTTCATGCTCATACTGCTATCAGTTTAATGTCTTTAATGTCTCTGTCAGGTCGTCTTTGTTCTATGTGGACCTCACTGGTGGGAAATGTGGTAAGTTGCTGACTCTCTCCTGTCTTGTACTATTTAGTCATAAACATGATTTAGATTAATTGAAGTATAATGCCTCCTGAACCAGTGACAATTCTCACAAAGTCTTGTGCTTTTAATCTCCTATGAGTTACTGTTAATTTATATATAAGTATGAAATTGTTCTTGTGTAGCTCATTTTGCAGAACAATTACATGTGCATATGAAGTGAGGCGCTACTGTAAATGTTTGACACAATGGTGATCATTGATTTGGACTTCCATATCAGACAACTGTTCTGGTCTGCATGGGTTTAGTCTTAGTCAAATACTGCTGCCATTTTTGTCTTTGTGTTTTTGCATTTCTTTAGAACAGCTGTCATCAGGCACCAGTGCAGTGTGCTCCCCCAGATTGAGCCCGGATCAGTGTAGGATTGTTTACCTGGAATGTTCTGTGTTTGGACCACACATGCAATGCAGCAGGCTCTGTATGGTAAGACGGGCCACTTTCACCATTTCACATTGACACTTGTACTTTAATTTCTGTACAAAATGCCCTCTCTTCTTACTTACTTACTGGGTAACACGGGGCGCAGATGGCCAAGCTGTCAGGTTGCGCCCCATGTACGAAGTCTATAGTCCTTGAAGCGGTTGGCCCGACCTGCAGCTCCTTTCATCATTTTTTGAATAATTTGTTCTTCTATCTGCTTGCATGTTGCACATCTAGTATGACTGGTATACTAAGAAGACCTCGGTGGTGGTGGACGTGGTGAAGAGGCCTGGAGAGGGTGAGAAACTCTCGGCAGCGACACAAATAAACATGTTCTTTTCATTCCATGTCAAATTTGATTGTGTTTGTGTGTATTTGTGTGTATTTACAGATGGCTTTGCTGGTATCTACAGTTCTCAGTTGTCCCCTCAGTGCTGGTCAGCTGACAGTCAGCGCATAATCCTTGCTTGTCCTCAGCGCAGCCGCAAGGTACAGAAAAGCTCTGGGAATGGCTTGTTATTATTAGAAAAAGACACATTTTTATTGTGTATTTTTCACATAGAGAGATGTGAAGGTGGAGACTTAATTGTACACATTGTTTGTGGTTTCTTGTAGGATCTGTTGGTTGTTGATACAAGCACTGGGAGCCTCACCTCTCTGACTTCAAGTGAGTCACTAGACACATTTATAAGCCTGGGAATTGCTCAGATTGAATCTGTCCTCCCCTTATTTTGTTGTTGCCTTCTTCTCTTAAAACACATTCACCTATTTTATTACTTTTGTTGCAGCCATAGAACCTGTTTATTTCAACCTGTGTCTACTTATGTTCTGTGTTTGTCTAAAGAATCTGATGTGGGTAACTGGTGTCTGCTGAACATAGAGAGAGATCTGATGGTGGTCAGCTGCTCCTCTCCAAACAGCCCCCCGAGTCTGGTAGGTTCCTTACTTTTCTGAGCAATGTTTTTTCTTGAGCTCTTAAAAATTCAGCCGATCCAGTGATGGAGAAGTAGTACCGGTATGTCACGTACTCTAATGTCATTTCTGTGTCCAGAGGGTGGCTTTCCTTCCCCAAAAAGACTCTCAGGAGGAAGTGGTGTGGGTTACTTTGGAAAACTCTCAGACGTTGCAAGATATTGATTGGCAGATCTTGACTTTTACCCCTCCTCCAGAGCAAGACAACAGTCAATACCGTAAGAATTCACATTTGAAATCAAAATTTCAGAAGAAATGTTTTGTCCTTCAATTTGTTCCACACACATCAACAACACAAACAGCTTAAAGTATTAAACCTCTCCATGATGATGTCAGCGAAAAGTTGAAACTGTCAGGTCACATAAACCCTTTCACACATACGGAAATCTCCTGGAAAAACTCTGGGGATTTCCAGGAGGAGCTGTATGTGTGAACGCAACAGCCAAATTTTTTACTCCGATATTACCGGAGTTTATCCGGCCAGACCCCTAGTATTTTTTCCGCAGATAATCCGGAGGAGCTGATGTGACAATGCAGCAGGATATTCTCCAGAGATTTCAATTTCAGCCAATGAAAAGAGAATGACGTTTATATACAGTGACCGGCTAAAGTGTCTGCACGCGACCACTACGATCTCCGCGCACGTAATTAAACGGCTGCATTCTGTTTTCTGTTCGTCAGTATGTTGTTCTCCTCTCTTTTGTGAATGTTGTCATTCCATTGGATTACACATAACATTGATATAAAGGCAAATATTCTCATTATAACGTCGTGTAGCGGACTCTGTTGCTTCGGCCGCGACTTCCGCGTTGTTTATTTACGTCACGTCTTTTGTTGGGAATTCCCCCGCGCCCCCTCCCCTCTGACAGGGAAAGTCCCCCGCTGTGAGGAGCATATGTGAACGGCTACTTCGAGAGAATCTCCGGAGAAGTCCTCCTGTAAATATATCTAGATATTATCCGGAGTACATATGTGAAAACGGCTATTGATAAGATTTATCACAAAGTTCTCATATTGAGTTTGGTTGGCTGTGACATGTATGTTGTAGTAGGAAGCCTCTGATGTGACTCTGTAATGTCAGGAAGAATAATTCTGTCTTTCAGTAAATAGAGGGTTAAATAGATTATACTGTCTGTATGACACATAAAAACTGTGTTTGTAATCTTAGGGGGACTATCTGATTAATACTCTATATATATATTCTTCAGCTGGCCTTGATTTTGAAGCTTTGCTGATCAAACCAAAGGAGGTTAAAGATGGAGTGAAGCTGCCTCTTATCGTCACTCCTCATGGTCAGTTACTCTCTTATGTGCGAACAGAATCAACAGTCAGGAAGTATTACATCCATTGTAGTGTGTTATGCAGATTCAGGTTGTGAAAAACAAAACGAATGTATGTGTAGATTGTGCTAAATATGAGTTTATTATCAGGTGGAAATCTGTCAACCTGTTTAGTGATTTGTTCCTTTCAGTCATGAGCTGCTGCGACAGACAAGGTTGGCATCGCCAACAATGGTTGCTATGACAATGGTGGCCTTAGTTAGAAAATGTTTTATCTAATTTATCTAATTTTTTATCTAATTTTTTATCTAAGGTTTATTAAAAGGCCTGTAATATTCAACATATATTTGTCATGCAAAGCTATTTTTTAAAAACATTTATTCATTTTAGATTGATCACATAAAGACACAGAGATGGCTTTGACAACAAACCAACTGTGTTTTAATTTCTTTTACTAAGGGGGTCCTCACTCTGTGATTGTGGCTGACTGGATTCTGTCATCATCTGTGCTGTGCCAGATGGGCTTTGGCATATTACTGGGTAAGTTAAAGGTTAGCATGTAGTTGGTTGTGTAAGCTTCTCAGAGGGTTTGTCGTCATCTTTTTTAGGATGTGTACTCGGTGGGTGGAACTGAAAGGCAAGTTTCACATGCTGTCTTCTTCCAGTAACAGACACCTGGTGCATATTCCAGTTACTTTGCATGCTCCAAGATTAGAAAAGTGTATCGATTGTACTTTTCTTCCTAATCATAAGACACTAAAGTTTTTCCTATTGTATCTAAACATTAAAATATCTGTCTGGAGCCCGCTGTTTTTTGCACACAGGCATAACAAGTCTCATTATATTGTTACCTGGTACTTTTAATGTAGAGGGGAAAAAGTTTTATTGTGGAAGTATTCAAACTAATAGACTGCTGATGATGACTAGAAACTGGTCTTGCTTCTCTATTGCTCTTTTCTGATGTAATAGATACATTTGTCTTGTTTCATTGGGGAAGTTGCAGCTGCTCTTCATTTCCAGAGTCTTTTGAGCCATTCTCAATAACGTTGTCATGGAAGCAAAAAAAAAAAAAAAAACATGCCTGGTTCACTTTTTTTGAAAAGGTTGTTTTTTTTATTTGCCCCAGAGTTTGAAACAAAAAAAAAAGGTCTTATGCTCGTTTACTTTTCAGGGTACTATCAGATGTTCAAAATATGTCTTAAATGTAATAAGGAACTATAATTATACATCTTTGTCATCTGCATTGAAACATCCATGTCAATCATGTCGATGTGTCTTTTTTTTTCATCTTGCAGTGAACTATCGTGGCTCTATCGGGTTCGGGCAGGACAGCATCCTCTCATTACCTGGAAATGTTGGCACCCAGGATGTCAAAGATGTTCAAGTAAGAACAAAAAAAAAACATTCATAGACATGCTCATTACATTTTGAATTCATGAAATTGATTAACAGTAAAAGGTGTGCTTAAGCTGGTAAAACAGAGTTAAGGAGTTCTTTATGCTGATATCTAACATTAATTTATTGGTTGATTTATTTCAGACATGTGAAAACAAAACAATAGAAAACAAATAAAATAAATCCACAGCAAAATAACTAAAAGTCAAAAGTCCTCCATTCTCTCTAACGTTTTACATGCCCGAGTTAGAAGAGGTTCATACTTACTGTTGGTTGGTTTCTGTATTTAGTTGTTGTGCTACCATAGTTTCTGTTTAGGTTGTTTGTTTCTTAAAATTTTTCTCAAATCTTGATTTGTCTGCCTTCCCTCTCACAACCCCCCCTCCTCCATCAGTTTGCTGTTGAAAGTGTTCTGAAAGGTGCCGAATTCGACATGCAGAAGGTGTCAGTTTCTGGGGGCTCCCACGGTGGTTTCCTGGCCTGCCATCTCATTGGCCAGTACCCAGGATTCTACAAGGCCTGTGTGGCTCGCAACCCTGTCATCAATCTGGCATCGATGATTGGCAGCACAGACATCCCAGACTGGTAAGACTGTCACGTTGTTTTATATTTTCCTACATCAGTTCCGCACAATCACTCACCTTTCGTTGTTTTTTCATTTGTGCACCTGACATTTCTCTATGACAGCTGTGAGCGAGTGAGGGGGGTAAAGGGCATTTTGTCTGCCCCCCTGTTAGAGATGGGAGTGTTCTATAATGTACAAAACACAAATACTGTGGGAACAAAGGACCTCAAAGCCATTATGTGATTTATCTGTTGATGTTTAACCATGACTGTTGCAGGTGCATGGTTGAGGCCGGCTTCGACTACAGCACCGACTGTCTACCTGATCCAGCTGTTTGGGAACAGATGTTGAACAAGTCCCCCATTAAACACGTTACACAGGTAAGAGTATCTCTGCTTAAAGTCTACTTTTTGCATGTGACTTCATCAGTGTTGATACACAATATGGTAACTGCAAACAATCTCCCAATTAGGTACAGACACCAGTGTTGCTTACCTTAGGGGAAGATGATAAGCGTGTACCCAACAAGCAAGGAATTGAATATTACAGAGCGCTCAAAGCAAAGCAGGTCCCAGTGCGGTAAGCAGCTAGACACTATTAACTGTCAGGTATATGCTGCACAACATGGCTTTTGTTGATCATTCACTAATGCTCTGATTTGTGTTTTTTAGGTTGTTGTGGTACCAGGGCAACAATCATGCTCTCTCCAAGGTGGATGCTGAGTCTGACGGCTTTATGAACATTGCTCTGTGGATAATTCAACATATGTGTCAGTGATGGTAAATCAGACAACAGCAAATAACTGTGTAAGGGATATTCTACGTTTCTTTTCAAGGGCATTCTGACGTCCAAGCCAAAGAATTTAAAGTGCTTTCCAACATGAAGATTTCTTGTAAATATATACACTACTTGTAATCTGTCTGTAACTATGTTACTTGTTTCCATGGTTGCTTTATTGAAGTTGATGAAGGAGCGACAGTTTTAACACAGCACTTGAATAAAAACTCATTTGATGCAGTTTTACTTAATCAGAAACACATTTAACCTGCACAGTTTGTCAATTTTGCAGTCTCCACATTAAAGAAAATAAAGGGCTTTATTTGTCTGTAAATTGTGTTTGAGTTTATATTAATAAAGTCATTATGAAAATTCTGCTCTTGTAGCTGATGAGCGTTTCAGCAGATTGAAACTGAACCTGGTGTTGAAGGGTTATATCGGTTTCGTCTACCTTTTTGTTTAGAACATTTTGTGAATTAAGGAAGTCATACTATTATGTTAACCTGTTGGAAAAAGAGCTTTTCGTTCTGTCGTTATAGTCCGAAAAATTAAGGATTTAGTATCTGTGACCCATTATATATTCTTAAGCAGTTGTGACAAAAGATGCTGCTGTTTGTCTGATGCTCTTCTGAAATACAACTTAGGGTACATGATTTTCATCAGGCTGCTGAAGTTTGACCTCACGCTTTCACTTCTGCATAAACGTATCCAGTTCCTTGCCACTGCACGCACTTTTGTCAATCATTTTCAGTCATTGTCTCTACACCTGGATTAATGCTTGCTTCATCTTGCTCCCTGTGAAACATTTAAGATGCACTCCATGCCTATAATGGTAAGTAGGAAAATATTTGATTTTACTTTTGAAAACTTACTTACGATATTCTTTCAGATTTACTGTATTGTATACTGTTGCATTATAAATATAGAGTGCATCCAGAAAGTATTCAGGCCTTCTCTTTTTCTCATTTTGTTATGTTGCAGCCTTATGGTAAAATAAGTATTCAGACCCTTTGCGATGACATTTGAAATTTAGCTCAAGGGATTCCCATTTATCATGATCACCTTTAAGATGTTACTCCATCTTTACTGGAGTCCATCTGTGGTAAATTCAATTGTTTGGTCATGATTCAGAAAGGCACATGCCTGTCCATATAAGGTCTCACAACTAGCAATGCATATCAGAGGAAAAAAAAAAAGGTCGAAGGAACTGACTGCAGAGCGCAGAGTCAGGATTGTCAAGGCATAGATCTCGGGTAGGCTACAAAAAATGTCTGCTGCAGTGAAGGTCCCCAAAAGCATAGTGACCCCAATAGAATGGCTGTCCACCGATGGTCCCCATCCAACCTGACAGACTTTGAGAGGATCTGCAGAGAAGAATAGCAGAAAATCCACAAAGCTTTTGCACCATACCCAAGAAGACTCGATACTGATACTGACAAAGGTGCTTCAACTAAAGGGTTTGAATACTTATGTCAGTGTGATATTTCAGTTTTTCCTTTTAGAAAAAATTGTCATTATGGGGTATTGAGTATAGATTGATGAGGAAAAAAATAATTTAATTGATTTTACCATAAGTCCGCAACATAAGATGAGAAAAAAGTGAAGGGGTCTGAATACTGTGTGTATGGACACTGGAATACTACAGAATACTCTGAATGTGCTGTATGGAAAACTGGGTTAGGGATAGGGTGGTCTTGACTTTTGATTTTGAAGCAGAGTGATTTCTTCCAGATTGTTTTAGCTGCTCTAACTGTAGATTGATATATACTATAATTGAACTTGGATAATGGATTGTCTGAGGAAAAATGTTATGTATAATGCTTGGCTTCTTCTTCTTCTTCTTTTTTTAGGCTATGTTGAAGAAGATCCTTATCCTTTGTCTACTTCTCCCATCAGTGAGGACTATAATCACCAGATTCTTCCCGTGTGACACGGATGTTAACAATACCACAGTGGACTGCTATGACAGATCGATCACGCATATCCCCCACATCAAGTCTAAAACTGTCATTTCAATCAATTTAAGTAAGACTAAGATACAGCATGTGGAGCAGGATGCTTTTTCAGGTGTTCCAAACCTCAACTCTCTGAAAATAATGGGAAACTGTCAACCAGGTCACCTGAGACCTTTGGAGGACCACTCATGTGAGATGAAGATCGACAATAACGCCTTCAAGGAACTACAGAAGCTTCAATTTTTGTATCTGTCTGGAAACAGCCTCACTTCTATTCCCCTGTTACCTAAAAGCCTGAAGTTACTTGATCTACAGAATAATTGTATCTTCCACATCGCTGACCCCCTGAAAACACCTTATCTCGAACAGCTCTTACTCACAAAGAACTGCTATTATGCAAACCCTTGCAAACAGTCTTTTTACATCAGCGAGAGGGTTTTCAGAGAGCTCCCTAAACTGAAAAATCTTACCCTGGGTTATAATAATTTGACTGCTATTCCTAAAGGGTTGCCACCCTCTCTAGAGAGCCTGGACTTAAAGGAGAACACAATCACAGAGGTCTTAGACAGAGCTTTTGCTAACTTGACTGTCCTCAAGTATTTGAATTTGGAGTGGAATTGCCAGCGTTGTGACCACGCAGCCAGGCCCTGCTTCCCTTGCCCCAATAATCTCCCGCTTCACCTCCATCCAAACTCATTCTATGCTGAAAACAGCTCCATGCTTTCCTAAGCTTAAGAGGGAACTCTTTGAAAACATTCCCAGAGGGTCTTTTCCAACCTTTGAAAAAGTTACATGGATTAGACCTCTCTGACAATCTCCTGGCATATGCTATACGTACGGGCACCTTCTTTTCAGAGCTGAAGGGCCTCACTTGGATAAGCCTTATCTATAACTACGAACCACTGAAAACATTTCCTGAACTGATCCTTTCTCCAAATATTAGCGACATATCTGGGCTACAAGACCTTCTTCTCAGTGGTAACTTTTTCCACAAGGTTTCGGATGAGAGCTTTAACGTCCTGTACAAACTCCAAAGTCTAAGAAAACTAGAGCTGAGAATGAATTTCATCAATACTTGTAATTTGACAGCTCTGAGACAGTTACCGTCTCTCATTAAGGTTGACCTCTCCCAAAACATGCTCGACTTCCTTCCATGTTGCTCGAGTCTGTCATCTGAGAACGTGGCACAAGAAAGTTGTCAAAACCAAAAATTGCATACACTGAATTTTCCTGATCCATCACTCATGCTGTCTGACCGAGAAGCAACATCTGGAGAGGACATTTGTGATTCAAATCAGTCACCCAGGTTGGAAATGTCTGAGGACAACGTGTCTGGAATTCCATCACTATGGGACTTCAGAAACCAATTGTGCGGACAGAAACTTACATTCGACCTCTCTCAAAATGACATTCTGTCTTTAAACAAAAAGGTGTTTGAGGGCATGGAAAATGCTGTTTGTTTAAACCTTTCCTACAATTACATGAGTCAAACACTGAAGCAAGGGCTGTTTGAGAGCATGAAAAAATTAGTTTTTCTTGATATGTCCTACAACAGACTTGATTTTTATTATAGAGAAGCTTTCAGTGAGCTTAGTGCCACACTGAAGGTGTTGGACGTTAGTAACAATGATTTTCACTTCAATATGAGGGGAATGGGCCATCGTTTAGAGTTTCTCCAGAATCTGACCAACCTGGAGGTGTTGAGTCTGGCAAATAATGGCATTGGGATGCGAATAAATCAAAGGCTGATCAGCACCTCTTTGAAGTTCCTTTACTTTAATGGAAACCACTTGGACATAATGTGGAATTTTGATAACAACAAATACACTCATTTCTTCCAGAACCTGACAAACCTTGCCTACCTGGACATCTCTAAGAATGAACTGATGTCTATCTCACCAGACGTTTTGTGTAGCTTCCCAAGAAGCATTAAGTACCTTAGCATTAGCAACAATCTATTAACCTATTTCCCATGGCTTAACATCTCAGCACTCAGCAATTTACGTTACCTGGACCTCAGTCAAAACCACCTCACCAACTTGCCTTCTAAACTCATTGAATTTGGAGAGAATTTTGCTCACTTGGACCTCAGTCACAATCGCCTCAGTTGCATTCCTGAGGATTTCTTAAGTAAGGCAGCGTCCTTGCAATATCTGTATCTGAGCCACAATCAGATCAAAGAGTTGAATCGTCAGTTTCTCCCTGCCCCTTTTCAAAATGGCAGTGCCCTTCAGAAACTCACCCTGCATGCAAACCCATTTAAATGTGACTGTGATACATCATGGTTTGCAGACTTCTTGCGTACAACTCCAATACACATTCCTTATCTATTTACCCAAATACACTGTGAATATCCGGAGTCTCAACAAGGGGAGAGCATACTCCATATGGATCAACATTCCTGCCAGGACATTTATGGTAGCTTAGCATGCCTCGTCTGCTCCTTCCTGACTGTGACATTCACTGTTCTATCTCTGCTTAAGCATCTCTATGGCTGGGATCTGTGGTATTGCTTACAGGTACTCTGGGCAGGACACAAGGGCCACTCCCAGCTGGTTAGAAGTGATTCACCATATCACTATGATGCATTTGTGGTGTTTGACACTAGGAACCATGCTGTGAGGGATTGGGTCTACAATGAGTTAACTGACAATCTGGAGAATTCAGGTCACAGGAGATTTTGTCTCTGTCTGGAGGAGAGGGACTGGATTCCTGGTCTTTCTTGTATAGAAAATCTATACAACGCTGTCTACGGCAGTGTGAAGACAGTGTTTGTGCTGTCCAGTGGTGCTAGTGGTGATGACACAGTGAATGGCGTGATCCGCCAGGCTTTCTACATGGTTCAGCAGCGGCTTCTGGATGAGAAGGTTTGTGACACTTTTTATTTCTCAACTGCATTTTACAGAAGGACAACTTACCCTGTCCTATGTTGTCGACGAGTTTTTCGTAACACTGATTTTTCTCCTGTTTTTCTCAAGGTGGATGTAGCTGTGCTGGTTCTATTGGATGAGATGTTTCCCAAACTGAAGTACCTTCAGCTGAGGAAAAGGCTGTGCAGAAAGTCTGTGTTGTCATGGCCAAGAAACCCAAGGGCACAACCCCTTTTCTGGAACCAAGTTAGAATGGCATTGTCATCAGATAACCTCAACTTCTATGACAACAACATGAGTGAAGGTTTTATATAACTACCTTTCAACAGCTGATAAAACGCACATAGACATACAAGTACTTAAAATGTACAATCTTGCCATTACCTCACTTTGAGACTTAGCCCTTAGTTGTGTCATATCGAGATATGACTGATGTTTGATATCATGTTTTTATTAAAAGAAAAGTTACTTATTCATGGTTATATCTAAATTTGAAGATTGTTCTCTGTTGTTTATCAAAATTAAACATGATTTTTTAAAATTCCTCTCTTAACTGGTTTTTCTTTTTTCTTTTGCCTTTTAGTTACCTTTAATCCTAGTCTGAAAAGCGTTTGTATAGGGCAAGGAGATGTCGCTTTTTTGGCCTAAAGGGTAAACTAAGGAACTGTACATTGTTCATAGACATTGATATTGCACTATATTTAGTAAATAAAGAGTGTAATAAAATACCCCAACATTCTATATCTTACATTTCAGTTCCCCTTACTTGTATAATATGAGGAAATGAGAATGATCGCTTTACAGCTCACACAGTTTCCTCAGCTGCATCCATTCAAGTAAGAAGGCATCTTTGATTCCGTTTACATTTTCCATATAGGCTGCTCACCAATTCACATCAGATAATATAACACCTGTGTAACGCCACAATTTACCAGTTTGGGATCAATAAAGTAATTCTATTCTATTCTATTCTAAGCCTGTGAACTATCAATTAGTGAACTATTTGGTGTTGTGATTTTGGACTGATACAGTCTAACATTTTAAGTAAAACCTCTGGCACAAAAAGTTTTTATTGTTGTTAGGCTATTCTTATTTTGACAGTGAGCAGTGAACTGAACAGCTGCAGCCCCCCTTTATGCAATCACGTGTGTCATCTAATTTAACAAACAAAAATCTTACTTTGATAGGATTAAATAAACGTTGACTGAGGGTCTCTGTGTGTATGGACACTGGAATCAATTTGTTTAGTAAGGAAGCCCTACTTTTATATTTGTAATTCAGTCTTTGAACGTCAAACTTGGAAAATGTAATACAGACGCTGGTGGGGTGGAGGTTGCCTATATGAACACATAAAAGCCTCCATTCCCATCATTGTTGTTCGTGCTGCCGAACCAACCACGCCGCGTAGGTCGCGCACGCGCCAGCTTGGGAGTGCGCGCCCACGAGGACCCGATGGCAGGACAGGTCATCATGAGAGAACTGAGCCGATGAGATCATGAAGCCTGCGCCGAGGTCGGACAGAGTACGTTTAGGACTTCACGGTGATGGAGAGGTGCCTGACCGGTAAGCCAAACGCACCCGTTGCGTGCACACCTGGGTTTCGCGGAATTGTTTGGCAACATTATTTAAACAAATTAAACTGTGCTATCAGTTTGTGTGGCAGATTAATTATTATGTAAGGTACTAGCTCGAATTCATGTAGCCGAGTGCATATGAGCAAGAAACTAATCCTTCATGCCGTGGTCGTAGTAGAGTTATTTGGGCGTCTGTTTCCAGGCTGCGTAAGCACATGCCCAACGACCCCTTTTCTCGAGCCAAACTTGAAATATAATGCAGTGTACTTCATAGTTAACGACAGCTTGGGTGAATGTCCAGCTTTAAAAAAAAAAAAAAAAGAGGGGCTTCTGCGGATAAGTGTTAGCGAAGGGAATTTACAAGTGAAGCTGACATTACCTCAGTGTAGGTGGTGACTCGAGTTTTCTGTTTGCGGCAACAGCTGGCTGCCAACTCAGAAGAAAGTACAGAGGTTTGGGGCAGGTAAGACATTCGGTGTTTTATACTTGTGGCATTTTTTTTTTTTTTTTTTTTTTTTTTACATTTCAGCAGTCACGTCTCTCTCTCTCTGTGTGTTCTTTCATCCGGTCATGATGGTTTTAAAAGGATGTGGCGATACAGCTGCGTAAACTTGGCGCGTGCTCATCAGTTGAACAGTGTTATACCTCCATTTTTATTTCAAACAACCTGCAGACTAATCCTTCTCGGCGAACCAAATATCATCTTTGCTGCTTCCTTGTTTTGAAAAATTGAGAGCAAGTTATCTGTCAGGTTTTTTTTTTTTCTTTGTCCCCTGTTTAATTTTCATTATCAATTTGGATATAGAAACACCACTGGTGTTCCAAAATGATACACCAAAGGTTCTATTGCTGGCACATAAGGCTAAATGTATTGTGTCAAACAATGATGGATAAAGGATTGACATCAGTGTTATGACTGACAAGTAGATTTAACCAATCCCTCTGTTGCATCCTATGCAGGGACTCCCAGCACCCAATCCTCTTGGATTAGAGGAGGGATTATGGTTTGGATTTGCCTCTGCTTTACAGAAAGAGTGACCAATATCTGGTCCATATTGGACTGGATTCTTACGTAGATTTCCTGTTAAAAAATATATATTAAAGCTTAAATTAAATGTTTTGCCTCAAACACAACTAATGCCTCAATATATGGGCACACTATATCATAACTGTATACTGAATCTACAGTAATAATGGCACATTTTTTTTAATCCTGTACTTTCCAAGTAGCACAGGTTTCCTGTTTTTAGTTGAAGCCTTAGGTACGGGTATGTCTTCAGCCCTGATGCAGTCTGAAGATGAGCTTTGCAAGTGTCCCAGTGGGAAAAAAGATAGAAGGGCTGATCTTCAATTTCCCTCCACAGTGTCCCATGGTTATAGCCAATTACACGATAATGTCTCTGTTTCCTTCAGACCTGAGCATGCATTAAACTCCTGTGCTTTATAATAGTATATTGAGTGCTGTCCATGGTGCTGAAATGATAAACCTAGTCCATCACTCTACTGTTCTTCTTTCACCATCTGCTGTGGCGACTGTGGCTCAACAAAGTTTTTCTTTACATAATGAGCACTATTAGTACACCAAGCCACTAATCTGTATACTGTTAGTTAACTCAGAATGTTCCATGTCCTACTATCACTATCCATACTATCACTCTAATATCCACAATAGAGGAATGCAAGATACTGTATACATTTTTTTAGATGATGATGTATAATGATGATGATAATGTATTGGTAAATGAACCTATACTGCTTGTGTCACCTTTTCTATTAACGTTTGTCCCTCTTTACTGGTCCAGAATCCATAATGTCCTACACTGTAGCTGAAACTACAAGACCTCTGGCCTGTGTGTCTAGGACCCCTCTAGCCAACAATCACTGCAACTTTCTTCCAATGGGACGAAATAAGACTCATCCTCAACGCCTGCACAATCAGGGATGGACAGATGAAAACTAAAAGGCCCAGAAGTGGCCTTTATTTAAACACTATTATTTAATTTTGTTCAGTTAAGGGACATGAAAATAAACCCAACCTTAACTGTTTCCTCTCAGAAGTTTACTTCTGCCACATGAAAAAAAATGCCTTTAAACATTCGAGCAAAGCCAGCACAGGCCAAGCTGTCTGCTGCCTCAAAGAGCGGGGGGCACACAGATGGCAACACATCTCATTCACGCTTTTCCAGATCCCCCAAACAAGGGAAGGGTAAACAGGCTACGAGTTCTGCACCAGGCTTTCGATCTGGGCTGGAACCTGGCTCTGTGTCTGGGGGTGTGCCTGCGCCAGCGTCAAAACCGGCTGGAGGTCAATGCTCGGTCTCCAGACCAGGTTCAAAGACCAAACCTAGCTCGTCAACAGATAAAGGAGTAACTCATGGTTCAGCAACAGCTCCGGGGGGTAAAACCCTGTCCATGGAGAACATCCAGTCGTTGAGTGCTGCCTATGCCACTTCAGGCACCATGTACCCTCATGAGCGGGATTCCTTGGAACCCTCTGGTGGGTACCCCAAGGGTACCATGACACTGGGCAGAAGCACAAGTCGCTCCTCTTACACTAATCGGACAACGGCTATGGGAAGCAGCCCAAACATCACCTCTTATGGTCCGTCAGACCCCTATGGAGACCAAACCTTGCATCCTGCAGGGAGTTCCAGTTTGCGGAATCAGTCTGGAAGGCATCCCCAGGCACCAGACTCCGCTGGACGTGGGGAGGTCTCAACGTTTGATCTACAGTCTCAGCTTAGGGAGCTTCAGAGGGAGAATGACAACCTGAGAAAAGAACTGGATGGTGGAAGGGAAGGAAGGATGGGCCACAGTATGAACAATGTGAACTTCTGGAGCCCAGATGTGAAAAGAGACAAGGGGGTAAGGCAAGAGGAGGGAGGAAGGACCTCTGTTCTGAGGGACCAGTACAGGACTAACCAAGATGATGCACAGGTGAGAAAAAATAAAAAAAATTGGGAGTTTGTTCAAAAATGAAGAACATTCAAAACTCTTATTCATCAAACATCACATCCGAACTATTTGTGTCATTCCACCCATCTCCTCTGCACGTCATACTCCTCGCATCATACCTTTTGTTTCTAACGTCAAGGTTGCATGGAAATGCTACTGTGCAGTTTGTAAAGATGTTTGCCAGGATTGGCGCTGTCTGTGTTTCCATGGGAACATGCCCCAGTGGCAGCAATTCCAAGTGTAAGCCAGTTTCTAGCTGAGCTCACACCTACTCCTTAAGGGACAGTGACCAGTCTGTCCTGTGCCACTTCTCATAGGAATCTTTCCTACTGAGTCCAAGTCATTCTTCATGTTTTCACTGTATTGCTACAACTATATATGTTATTTTTTAGTCTGCTTTCCTCTTTATCCTACACTGGGAGACACCTGATTTCTATTTGTCTGGGTTGCATTTTACTTCTCTTGACTTTGTCTGGTGTCATGTAATGTTTCTCTTGAGGAAAAATAACTCTGCGTTTTATAGTGTGTTGTCCTGTTCAGATAATCTTTCCGAATTTGCAGCATGTGAGCTTGTGTTAAAAACTCTTTTACTGCTCGTCTTTTCCCTTACACAGGCTTGCAAAAACTTCAGTCATACCTGCACTCATCCATGAGACTCCTCCCTTTAGTAGCCACCTCTGCATTTGTATTTATAGCTTTCTCATCTCACATTGTCATTCAGTGACACAAACATCCACACATCCACACACCTGAGATTTTAAAACCTCAAGTACAAAAATTAATTCACTCATTTTAACTTTCTTCAGGAGCTTATCCATTGCTATATGACTTTATTGACAAACACAATAACATTCTGAAATTGCATGAAGATCTTTATTTCTATCTACTTTTCTAATTTAAGAAAGACCACATGCACACATAACTCTCCCACATGTACACATAAATATGCACACAACTTTTACCACCCACAAGGTGTTGTCTTCACCAAAGGTAGTTCAGTCAGCTTTATAGGCAATAGATGTGTTTACAATCTAACTACTGATGTTACGATTCTCATGTCTGTTGTATTAAAAGGAGCAGGACAGTCAATATAACCAGCGCCTGTGTATTTGCAGGCTGGTCGCAACTTGGCCCTGTCTCTGATAGATGTATGTGTTTGTCTCTGTTCTGTTCCTTCAGGCGTCAGACCCATACACTTGTGTATCATGTTTTTTTTCAAGTGTTGACTCATTTGTCCCTCCCACACTCTTCTGAACTGTGTTCTTCCATTCACCCTTTTCTTCTTTCATCTAGTGAAACATGGTACCTTTTCCTTAAATGTATAACTGTATTACCTCATGTATCTTTAAGGAAAGCTTTATAAAGCTTTATGAGTAACAAACATAGCTGGTTAGATATTCTCTGTCATATTTTTTGTTTAACAATACCCATTACAATACCTGAATTGGTCATTTAGATGCCACCGAACAATCAGATACCAGTGCAGAAGTTCACATCATGTGTTACGATGTCAGTCGTTGTTATATTGCCTGTCTCAGGTTAAACCTATTGTAGAGTATACAATGAGATTGAAAAAGGAATACAACAGAACTTCACTTTAAATTGATTTGTGGGCTTTTATGTTGTTATTAGATAGGACAGCTTAAGAGAGATAGAAAATGTGGGGAGAGAGAGTGAGGCATGACATGCACTGTAAAGCGTCAGGATGAAGAGACAAACCTCGGACCAGTGCGATGTGGACTGTAGCCTCTGTACATGGGGTGCTGTACCAACTGAAGCTGAGCCAGTGCCACTGAGCTTCCTAGTTCTACATTGATTCGATTCCACCTAGAATCTCATAATCTGAGAGAAATAGATTTCTGCAGAGGATTTGGCTCCTGTATAAATGTGAAAGAATGATGAACTCTGAAGGAATCCTAACCTTAAAGCAAACTAACCTAATGTTAACAACTCTTATCTGTTGCAACCATACTCTTCTTATCAGCTTTATGCTCCATCTTTCCTTCAGATTATCACTTTCCTTTTTTTCCCCTCACTTCCTTCCTTTTTTTTAGCCCTTTGAGACTCTCTAGGGAGAGTTCAGCCTGTCGAGAGATATTTGTAATTAGCATAAAGAATGTCACCTTTTCCCTCAGCTGCAGTGAACAGAGTTGTCCCCTGACCATCTGTTTGTTATGTGTATGTGTGTGTGTGAGTGTACTTGTATGTGTTTTGTGTACACATGCGCATATGTATTTGTGTCTTCAGTCGAGGTTGCGTGTGTGTTTGTGCAGAGGATTGTCCACCCACTCAGACTTGCTATTCAGTTCTAGCTTGTTGCATTGATTATCCGTGTTCACCCTTGCCTGCCTCCTACATCCCAACTCTGTGTCCTTGACGCTCCCCACCTTCTGGACTTGAGCAGAGGAGTAAGAACACTCGAGGAAAAATTAGTAATATCTTCCCACAGATTGAGAGATTAGTAATTTACCTTCCGCTAAGTGTTTGTGTCAATGAATATTAGTCATCCTCTATGATGAGTCAGATTGATTTATTTTTTGTATCTTCTGTGTTTTTCTTTTTTGTTTCATTTCCTAACAGTCTTTTCATACCCTGCATCATCAATCATAATGATAAAGTCCAGGGGCTCCAGCACAGAATTATTTTTTATTGACCAGACAGGAAATCGTACAGCTGTATAAATTAGAAGATTGTATTTTTCATCACTTTGCACTGCAACGTTCAGCAGAAGCAGGGAAAGTAGAGAGAACTGTGTTATCCCCATCAACTCTCTATTAGAGCCCATCTGTGTCACTTAGTAATCAATTGTTCAAGTGATACATGTATTGACTTTTCAATCAGTCATGAAATCATTAAACCTCCCCAGACTTGCTCAAGCAGGGATGACTCAAGTGTTACAAAGTAGCAAACTAAGTTCAAATGCATGCAAGGTCAAGATCTTCCGAGTATCATTGAATTTTTAACGTATGTAGTTTAACGACTAGGCGTATGACATTTTAAAATTTCCCTCCGATATAATACTCCAGCTTAGAAACAATGTGGAAAACCTAACCTACTGCTAGAAAATAGAAAAACCATTCTGCATTTTGACAACTTTGTTTTACAAGTTTGCTCACTGGCATCTAATGCTTTAATGGTGTCCTTAATAAATGATTGAATCATCAGTTAGAATCCATTGATAATTGATTACTTACTAACATAATTAGACACTTAGACTGCTGCAATAATTATTTTCAGTATTTCTTTTTTCCCGAATTGCAGATAAGTTTTCAACCCCTTATCATCCTTTCTTCCATTGGTTTTCATCTACCTGCACCCCAAGCCATGTCACTTTGCTTGCAGTAACCTCTATGTATGCTCCCTGTATTTTTTAAAGAGATATATCGCCCTCTGGTGGCCAAAGCAAACAATCATCAGCCAGCAGCTTGATATAATCCAAATGAGTCTTTGATGTTTATATTTTTTGTGTTCTATTTTTGCTTTATACATATGTGTGTCTTTTTCATATCTCTGATGCAGCCTGGGGATGTCAGAAGGAACAAGGTCTGTTTTATGAACCTAAATTTTGAAAGGTGTCATGTCAAGGAATTATGTTGTCAACAATTATATGTCTGTGTGTTAGGCAAGTTTGTTTTCCAACTAAATGAATTAATGTGTACTTGTCAATCTTTGTCTTTGTAGCAGATTCCATTGACAGTTCAGGAACTTCAGGAGGAGTTGAGGGCTCACAGGGAGATGAACAGTCGCTTACAGCAACAACGACAGCAGGGTAACTCTGGCTCCTACCGAGAACTCCATACAGACCAGGACCACAGAGGGGGGCTAAGCCCTGGCCACAGTCCCAGACAAAGCCCAAGCAACCTTCACAGCCCTGTGCAAAAGAACAGCTTGAGAGCCAGCCCATCCAACACCTACAATCCAAGGCAACAGGAAGCTGATGTCATCATTCACAGCCCCGGTTATGGCTGTAACGCTGCTGTAGCTGTGCAGAGAATCAGTCCTGCCAACACCCTTCAGCCCGGGCCGAGGAAGAGCCCAAGTCAGCCTCTCTACAGTCAAGGTCCCCAATTAGCACCAAGCGCAAGCTCACTTCGGCCCTGCAGCCCTTGCCAGGTACCCGGATGTGACGGCTTCTCCTCAACTCCTCCTGTTGATCCATCAGAGGAAAATTTCTTCAGGCTGCAGTCTGAGCACGAGCGGCAGGCTAAAGAGCTTTACCTGTTGAGGAAGACCATGGAGGAGATGGAGATGAGAATCGACTCTCAGAAGCAGACGCTGGGTGCAAGGGATGAGAGCATCCAGAGGCTGCTGGAGATGCTTCAAGGCCAAGGTCAGAGTCAGGGACCCTGGGGTCGGGGACAGCGGACGGGCATAATCACCATGGCGGCACAGGAAGCTGAAGCCCAGCTGGAGAACATGCATGTGAGAGAGGTGTGTTATATTTTTACGTTATTTCAATGTATCTGAACCAGTCGACCGTAGTTTCAAAGTGATTTTAACAGATGGGTTGGAGAGTATGATGGTGTTATTATTTATATTTGATTTAACATGGGGATTTTTTCAATTTTATTAACAATAATTCACAATCTGTTGTATTTACTTTAAGAGAATGTTAATAGATATTACTAATTTATAACATTTAGCTGTGAATTATTTGTTATCCGCAGTGCATGTGTGTGTATAAGAGTGGGTGTGTGTTTGTAGTATTATACATGTATGGACACACAGTGGCAGCAGAAAGCTGCTCAGCAGGTCTTATCAATGGGCCAGATTAACATACGGAGAGCTCTAAGCCTGTGTACAGCCATGCCGTTTTACAATCTGACTCCTTTAGGTTGTGTGTGTGTGTGTGTGTGTGTGTGTGTGTGTGTGTGTGTGTGTGTGTGTGTGTGTGTGTGTGTGTGTGTGTGTGTGTGTGTGTGTGTGTGTTGCTGGGTATTCACAGCATGCTCAAATTCCACTTCTCTTTTGATAGAAGAGTTAAATTAGGATATACATTTATTGCAGCCAATCAAAAATCCATGTAGAAAATTTTGAAAATATTGTTGTTTTTGTACCCCACTCTCTCCTCTTATTCTGTCTTTCCTCAGAGACTGATTTTTATTGATTGAGTATTTAAAATAACCTGCCCTCCAGTTAGCGGTGGTGGAGCATAGGTGTCTCTATATGCTATCCCAGTAGTAGGCTGCTCTGCGCTCTTCACTCCTGCCTTGTTTATTTTTAACTCCTAAATCTTCTTAGCCTTTAATTTCTCTACCTCTCTGTCAGTGTGTGTGTGTGTGTGTGTGTGTGTGTGTGTGTTTGTGTGCGTGTTCATGTCAGTGCATGCCTCTGCTATTGTTTGTGTAATGATGTTCATGTTTTTCTGTCTATCTGTTGTTTGTCTGCCTCTGACTGTTAGGCCCGGTCACAATGATTGCAAGTGTGATTGTCTCTGTGTGTGTGTTTGTGAGCATGCGTGCACATCTGGGACTTGTCAGCTTAGTGTCTCTGGCGAGGACACTCCCTCTCTGGGCTTCCGCCGGTGGCTGATGGGATATCCACCCATGCTGGGTGTCACCGTGATGATTTTGACAGAGAGGAGTGTGGGTTGTTTTAGCCCATGCTAATGCAGCAACTGTGTGTACCTGTGTGTGAATGTGTGTAATGTATGGGACCAACTCATGCTTTGTGTGTAAGAGGTGAGTACCTGTTTGCACACACTCTGAGTGCTGTGCTATTTTTAACTGCTTGACAGCTTAACACATGCTGTGGGTGTAAGGGGGAGGAGGGGGTGTCTGGATCTGAGAGGTAAGGTTAGAGGGAGAGAGGGAGTGATGGGTGAAAGGAGTGTTTTCTTTGGTAGAAAAACAAGCTGTGTTTTTCTGAATATTAATGTATGATTAATGAGGGGAAACACCCGACTGCCCTGATTAAAGAGGGAAGATTGTTGTTCCCTAGTTTTTTTCCTCGCGTGTACTTCTTTCCCTTTTACCTTCTCTCCTCTGAGGTTGAGATTGTTTGAAGTTGTTATGACTTCTGTGTGTGTGTGTGTGTGTGTGTGTGTGTGTGTGTGTGTGTGTGTGTGTGTGTGTGTGTGTGTGGCTGCATTTGTGTGTGTCTGGTTATGTTGATTCATATTTATATTAAGAAATTACTGCTTGAGGATGTTAATAGTTTTTAATTTTATTATTTATTTTAAGTATTTTACTGTATGGACTGTAGTACGTCAGATGTTAAGATTTCTGTAAAACACTGGGCATCATCCATTTCATATTAGTTTTCGTAAAAAGACTTAATTTAATTTTCTTAATATTGTCATTACATAATTTGTTGGGTCCCAAATTCATTGCATTGGAATGTGTCATGAGAACTAAAAAAAACATTGCAAATAATGAATATTTATGTGTTGATGCTTAAATGCATTAACCAGCTTTCATGTTTGATATCCACCAATAAATTAAAATGTATTATAGATTCACAATATTACCTTTTATTATACAGTGTTTACTTTAAGCAACTGGGGCCTAGTGTTATTTTTTGAAGCTCTATAACCCTATTTGTACTAGATTGAATTCGGTCTTACATTTGTAGCATTGTCATAGTCAGCTATGGCCGACCAGTGGTGGTAGTGGGATAATGCCTCTATTGGGGGGCACTGCTCTTATTTCAGTGAATAGCTCCAAAGGAAATCAGCATGACTGCCTTTCATTACCATCATCATAAATGCCTCTATTTTCAGTTCACCACTGCTGTTATTTGTTCTTAAACATGGTAAAGGGTTGGCACCTGGACTCTCTTTGAATTCTCTCATTGAAAAAGAAAATAATTACCACACATTTTTGTTTATATAATCACACTTGTATTTTTCTTATTTTTTGAAAACAAGCTTTAGGAGAGGGGTGTGGAAATGTATAAACTAGGGCTGTCAGCATTAACTAGTCAATCATACCTAAATAAAGGTCTGAAATGAATGCATCGATAAGCCTCCACAGTGTCTCCCTGAAGTCACAGTCATGAAAAAGAACAACACTACTGCATCTTTGAATGTCTGATTTCCTTTTAAAGAAACTCTCAGACAGCTCAGTTGACGAGTCAAAAGTTATATCCACCCTATGAAATCAAACATTTCACTTTTTTACCGTTTCTTTACGTTTTTTTCATTTAGTTTTTGATCCATAACACGTTTCTTTTTCTGTGGTTAAGATGACGTCAAAACCTTTGTTCTACCAGAAGTTCCTCAGTTTATTTCAAAAATAAAAGCAGGACTTAATTCAAACAGAAAGTGAAGTACTCTCAGTTTAAAACAGTACACAAATTCAAAATAAAAGCCGAATAATTTTTATTTTTTTTATGCGAAACAATGGAATTTCAATCGCGTTTAACTATTGAAAATAAGCAATTAAAATTAATAATCATTTGACAACCCTAGTGATAATTATTATATATTGCAAATAAGAAAATTCAGGAAGGCAGTGGCACCACAGATAACTGAAATCTGCTTTCATTTGTTTCCTTTCTCTTCTTGATCAGACACTTTTGACACTACACATTATTTGTGTATGTTTTGTTGATGTGCAGTTTGAATAGATATAGTGCTCCATAACTCCTTCACCTTCTGATGTGTGTTGGAAGAGGGGCGGTGTGTGCCAGCTTTCAGAATTAGAAACACTGTCATCTCTAGTTTCTCCCTTTGTTATTGTGATAAGAAGTATTTGTGGTACACTCTGAAATACTGATTGGCAGAATGTACTTTGTTTGCACTACAAGCAGTGTCCACAAAGTGGCAGTGTCCCATCAGAATTTAACTACTGTGGAGTTTACATGAACTGTAACTGAAGTTATGTGCTTATGTGTGATGACACACACACACACACACACACACACACACACACACACACACACACATGCACGCATGCTGTGAGGCATAAATCTGGGCCTAATCTGCTCTCCCCAGCCGCCAGGTCCCTGTAGACCCAGTAATAACAGCTGCACCACTGGTCTGTTCTTGCCTAGCCCTGACCTGCTGCCAAGGGCGTGCACACACTCATGCACACTCTCACTGTGAGAATTTAACTTGAGGATGGCATATCTGCTTTCATACATATTGTAATGCAGATTTTATGTGGTTTTTAGGATTCTCCATAGAGTCAGGGCCCATACAGTAAGATGAGATGTTTTCTCACAGTATTGGATCAGTAGGACTGAGTATTTAGCATTGCTCTATTGTTGACAATAGAAGGGAAAGGCACTTATGGCTCTACACTTTTCTATGCAATGACTGGCTTCAGAAGTCATATATTGTTATTCTTGGCAGGCTCTCTCTGTCTGCCCCCACATTCTTTCAAAAACCTAAATGAAACTTCAGCAACGTAGCCTTTAAAAAATTCAGATGCCAGAAAATAGAGGAAAAGTGGAAGTTCATCTTAGCAACTTCGTTTTCCTTAATGCACATTTGTTTTTATGCCCTCAGCCTTTTAGCTGCACTATTGAGTTTTCTCCTTCTCCCTCTTTTCTCATCTGCCTTCCTGGCTGTGTTTATTTTAGTTGTGTTTATTCTCTCATTTGACTCTTCCCACTCTCTCTTTTCTCTAACGGATACACTATCTGTTGTGGTTAGATTAATCGGTAAAAAGCCTGTCACGGGTACAGCCTTTCAGGGCTCCCTTCATGATTGGCTATTTCAGCCACCACTAATGAAGCCCTTCTCTACTGACGTTCGAGGTCCACTGTAAACACTGTTAGCAAACACTAACACACACACTAATTCTCCTTTCTCTTCACCACACCCTGGGTGCCTCACACCCAGCACGCTCTGGTGATCTCCCAGAATGCTTGAGCAAAAAAAAAAGTTTATCGGGACAAAATTACACCCCTCAAACCTTCAACTAATTCCCCCCATGTCTTGACAAGTCTTTCCCTCAGATTTGACTTCTTGTCAAACGTGTCATAGAGCCATTGAGCTGATAGGCAGACACATTTTAACATGTGTGGCAAAGGAAATCTGTTTCCCTTTTCTCTCACTGATGAAGAAGGGATGGGAATGTGATTGATGAATGTGTGTGTCGATGTATCTGTGCTTGTCCCAGTCTATGCCTGGCACATATGACACCATTGCCTCTAGGCTAGAATTGAACCTTCTGACCGTATCCTTCATTCAGGATGCCGGCACTTATTGCTATAGTGTTACGTTTGATCCTATTCATTCCATATGCTCTGTCCTCTGACACATGTGGAGCAGAAAAGACGGTCTTTGATGACATTTTCTCTTGCATGACTTAATTTCCCCCCATTGTACTGTAACTGTGGTTGATAAGGAGTTGATACACACTCTCTCAGTGGAACATATTAATGCTTGGATGTCCACAAGACACACACGCACACTCATAGTGACACATTAATACACATTTGGTCAGTGGAAGATTAGGACTGTGGCAGTAGTGGGCATGCCCGCCTGTGGGAAGGCATGCTCCGACAGCAGTAATCCTTCCTTTCCTCAACTGATAAGGACTTCAGGGTAAAGCCCTTATCTCCTCCCATTTACAATCTCTGGTAGAACTGGGAAGAATGGGAGCAATGGGAAATCATGTCAACCTGTTGCATCTTCTTTTTTGCCCACCCCCTGGTTGTCCTCTGAATGACTGATGAGCTGCCTTAATATGAATGCCCCTTTCTGCATGTAGTTACTATTTGGGTTGATGGATTTTACCATACTGACAATCTTTTTTTTCTGGTTTTTGTTTTGATGGCACTACAGCTTCTCTGTTTTTAAGCAAATCTTTATTGCCATCTTTGTTTTTTTGAATCCTTACAACTTGTGAGGTGCTACAATATATACACGTACATTCCAGATGTTAAACATTAATTACAGATTCTTCTAAAGCTTAAACTTAATTAGAAGGCTGCAGGTGTGATGGACTATCTTGTATTACATGCTGCTCACCATAAGCAATAGCAGAATACAATCCAATGCAATAGTTCTGAATTGAATCCTCTATGAAGCTGAAATTGATGAAGTTTTAAAGCTTCATTGAGCCTGGGGTTCACAACAATAAGGTTCAATAAAGATGAAATGGGATTAAAAGAGTAGTTCATTGTCGTACATTGCTCTCAGAGATAAATTTTGGCATCTTTGCTGTTGTACCCCACATGTCTGCAGTATGTAAAAGCTTTTGTGATAACAGATGTCTCCCCTTCAAGACAACAGGCAGGGCTTACATGCAGGCTGATTAGAGCAAAGCAGCAGCAATGATTGTGTTGTGGTTGCTGTTCCAATGAAACATTTTGAAATGCATATCAGGCTGTTGTTAAAACTGGCTAACAAACTTCACCCTTCTTTGCGCTCTCTCTTTAGAGATGACATGCTTTAGGCTACATTCATTTATTAATTGATATTTGTCTTTGTATTATTGCAATTGTTTTTAATCAAGGTAGATTTACAAAATAATACTCAAAGAAAACCCAAACATGAAAGGGTCAGTTCAGGTCCTTCTGATCATGTGGTTATTTAAATGTTCCCAGTTACTGTTTTGGAACTGCAATATTGTTCTCTCGTCCAATTATACTTTTCCTTATACTCTGGCTCAATAAGCATGATGTATGTCGGTATGTGTGTGTGCTTTTGTGAAGGCATAGTTGTGGTTCAGTTACCCTTAATTATTGATGGAAGAAGAGTAGCGCATGTGTTGGCAGGCAGTGTTGCTAAGCAAGAGCTTTAGCATGCCAGTGACATCTGTGAGAGAGAAAGAGATAACAAGTGAGAAATGGAAAGATGGAGACTGAGAGAGTGTTAGAGACAGATTATTTTGACCTGTAGTTGAGTCTGCCTCCAACCTGCTAACAAATAGAGACAGGAAGAGATCTTAAAATGTTTTCTTCATTTTGCAAAAACAAATTTTAAGGAATTTTAAGGATGTCCATTAGAGCCTAGCTGTATGTACCAAAAGATCTAAAAAAGAAGGCTGGGATTGGTCTAACTGCTCAGTGCATTTTATCTGAAGCCGTGGGTGCTAGAAAGTTCCAAAGATGATGAGCCGCCAGGCTTATTTTTATCGGGTCCCTCCCCAGGAGCTTCATCGCCGAAACCAGCTACAGGCTGATCCGGCCAAGACCAGGGCTCTGCAGACTGTCATTGATATGAAGGTAGGACGTAAAGGCAGATCTAGTACAAACAGGAGAAGCTATATTTAATTATAATATGCTTCACTGGGAGTGTTCATTTCTTTTGTGGATATGTTGATAGATTCATGCAGATAAGTGTTTTTTACTGTTAACAGAAGCAGCTGAGGAGTATATGTGAGAATAGTGAGCTCATATTGTGTAGGTGTTGTGGTAAAACATGGAAAAAGTCTAGTGTGATCTTGTTTGAGCTGTGTGGTTTTCTGTTCAGACGCGGTTAGTATTCTGGTTCACTCTGATATTAGCTTCATACCTTCCAAACTTTGATTATTGATGTGCACTGCTGTTACATGGGCAGTTAGTAGAAGATCACGATGGCCTGTAAATGCAGACACTAACAAACAATCCCATCTTATTGTTTCCTCATGTTTCTATGGCAGACCATGCCCAAGTGGCCATTGTTGGCCCATGCAGAGTCAAGCACTTATTCAATTTGTTTCAAATGTCACATATGGAAGCTTTCACTCTCATCTCATCCCTTTGAAGTCTTCAGAGCTGTGAAAATGCAGTTGACTCCACATGTGTCTGCCTGCACACCCACCCACACACACACATTTAATGTTCATTTAGCAAACGCTTTTTCCAAAAGTGACTTCTTTACAGCAAAACCACAGTTATTTTTCACACATACTTTGTGATTTGTCTGCCTATTAACAACATGCACATGTGCTCGCCTGAAATGCAAACAGTGTGTCACAATGCATGACAGAGGCTTAATTAAATCTGACTATTAATTTAAAAAATCCAAACTTATTATTCCATATGGGCTACACATTTGTTAGAGTCTGCACTCGTTGCTGATTCCTGCATTGTGGCTTTTTGAAAACATTTTCTTTATTTATTTTTTGGTATTAATACAACCATGTTAAAGTTGAATGTACTAGTCCTGTGAGTGTTTAATAACCAGTGTTTGTACTTGCAGTGTTTTTTCTTTCTCTAAGTCGTGTATATGTGTTTTGTAATTACAGAACACCAACCCCCCTTTCTGTTTTGATCCTGACATTGTCTGGCAGGTACAGTAATGAGTAGTCAAACCTTTTTTCCTTCTTTCCACTCAATAGCTACTTGCGTTCAGTACTTGTATTTTGCTCTTTCACATATTCTTCATGCTTGAAATGCAGCACCATCTTGTCAGAAGTTCAGAAGGTTATGTTTCAGGCCTTTTGGGGCCAAGCTTCTCTGAGATTATTTCCAATTGTAGGAATGTTGTTTTTGACATTTCCTTTGTGTTTTCCCTGGGTTTGCTTTGTTTCTCTTTCTCTGAGTGTTGTTTCTTCGTTTTGATCCAGAGTGGAATCAGTTATTAAACTAAGATAAATAATTCAATACCATATTCTGTGTGTGGGCATTTCTGTTCCGTGTGTGTATGATTGTAATTTGTGTAAGGAGAGGGGATTCCCTAGATGCCCAGCCTTGACTTTTATCTAGGTATAGTTTGTTTGTGTTGGTGTGTTATATGTATCTTTATGCATTCCTGTGTGCTCGGCTTATGTGTGTATCGGATGGTATAACCAGCACCGTGTGCTATGCAGGTCTGAAGTCAGTGGCGGTAATAGAGGTCATATGCTTACATGATGCCTGTGGTTTAGGTTGATGGCATCATGCAAGCTGCTTCCATTTATTCAATTACCTTTCTCATCTCTTCCAAGGTTGGGCTTTTAACGTACGTCTGAACCTATGCATCTAAACATCCTCAAGACCTGTCCATGACAGATCCTTCCATTCGCTCATAGATACTGCCATGGCTAAACTGCACACACAACTGCCAACAACCTTGACATTTTTTCCCTGTTTTCAGTTAATTCCATTCAAAATTAATATAAAATTTGAGGCTGTAATCAAATAGAGGGTACATTGGATAATTCTATGACTGTGCTGCCGGTTTAAGGATCATTCAGGCCTCAGGCCTCAATTGTTTAGGGCAGAGCCTGGGCTGGAGGGTGGGCTATGTCTGACTATTTCTTTAACTTTCTGAAAAAATACCTCCTCTTTTTTTAAACTTTCTGTTCCTGTACTTTTACATTCTGAAAATGAACATTTGAATGAGACGAATTTAAAGATTAATTTGATAGACAATTGTACAAAGAGTAACATTTGACACTTTTAACCCCTATGAATACCAGAGCCTAATATCTCAGTCAGATATTTGCTGACTGTGTGCCTGCTTACTGTTGCTGGTGCAGGACACCAAGATCTCTTCCCTGGAGAGGAACATGAGAGACTTAGAGGATGAGGTCCAGATGTTAAGGACCAGCGGCCTTATCCACCCTGATGACAGACAGGATGAGCTCAAGCAGGTGGATGTCTACAAGAGCCATTCCAAATTCATGAAGACAAAGGTAGAATGTCCGAGCATGCCACCCGAGGCAACTTTACCTGCATGTCCTGAGCGATGCATGTTTGTCTTGAAGCATCAATTACAGCTGTGTGAGAACGAGTTCTATGCATGTGGTCATTGCATGCTCATTGAGAACGAAGCATTGTATGGACTATCTGTAATATGAGACTGCATGGTTCAGTTTGCTGTATCTTTCACATTGATAAGGTAACTCCTATGTATACAAATGCTAAATGTATTAAGAGCGATTAATTTTTTGTTGTTTTATTTTTCTCCTTCTAATTGGCACTACACATTTGTGTATCTTACCTACCTACCCTGTGTGTTTACCAGTGATTGTTCTGCTGTCCATTTGTGACAGTTGACTTTTCTGAGTGAGCAAACTTAAGCCTTATCATCTCAAAATACATTGTGTTTTTCTTTTTTAAGACATGAATACTTTCATCAAAAGTACACTTTAAAAGTAGGAGGGATTCTGTTTTATCAGAAGAGTTGACTTTCAAAGTAATCATAAAAAAAAAAGATATATATATATATATGTATTATTGTACTATCATTTTTTTTTCCAGTATCTTTTAGACCATCTGTATACGGACAGAGCAGTTTATCGGCTGACATTTACATGTTGAAATAGGTATAATGACATACTGTATGAACAGAAGCCATGTTCAAAAATGTTAATTTCAGGTTTCTTGCCGAGTGTCCATGATGTATGACTCCCATGAGCAGCGCTCCATGTGAAAATAATTCTCTTTGGTTCATTAATGGGGCTCTTTGTAGGGCCCATTTGTCATTGCATCAGGGAAGCTCCTGATCCAATCATAAAAGAGATGTTTTTATGAATGGAAACCTGACAGATGAATGTGAGCTTACAACGACAGAGGAAAAGCTCTCTCCTCACCCGCACTGACCTGAGACGATATACATCACAGTGATGGGCCTGGCTCCCTCTCCCTTGTCTCATCTTTCTGCTAAACACAGAGAGACAAAACGCACATGGAGATGCATAGACACACAGATTCACTCTATATCCTTGAAGTGTTTAGGATGCTGGTCTGTCAGCAGTGGTGGTGACTAGTGTTGAAGTGACACTGCGATAAGAGAAACCATAGAGGACAGCCTCCCTGTCCTTCTGGTGTCCTCTCTTGGCTTTGATAAACCAGAGAGTGGCTTCTGAGAACAAGAACAATGTTGAAGTTGAAGTAGAATCTCACCAACCTCAACCTTCTGAAGACTAAACTGTGTGGTGGAGGAGCGCAGAGTACGGAGGAGTGTGGAGGAGTGTGGAGGAGCACCAAGCCAGCTGGGAATTAGACTAGAATTCCCTGAGCAACTCTCCAGCTGGCTTTGTTCTGTATTTAGTGGCTTGCTCTTTTCTTGTCTTTTTGTCTTTGAGCAGGCCTTGTCACCATGTGTGCCTCCCATCAGAACAGCTCCCACATTCCTCCTCCCCACTCAACAGCCCTGGATTAAAGAACAAGCAGAAGTACCCCTCTCATTAGACTCTCTCCTCTCTCATTATTGAATTCATCCAACCCAGTATTCTTTAAATCACTTGTTTCACTTTTTATCTATAGTGCTTATCCTTTAATGACGTAACCTTTCCACTATGTTCCCATCTTTGGACTTCTTTTTCTCTCTGTCTTACTGTCTCCTTTGAGTCTCACCTTTCTGAACGTGTCTAACATAGTCTTTTTTTTTTTAAATACCAATTCCTCTATCCCAAACTGATATTTGATTTCAGCTTGATTCTGACTTAAAGATCTGGCTAAGTGATGTTGACAATATTTTCCTTTCCATTCTGCGTGTTTATATGCTCATACTACATCATTCATTATTAGCAAACAGTGGGGGCATTTTGACATAGGAATTATTTCAAGCTTGATATGCCAACAAGTTTTATGTATGCTTGCAATATCTGCAAAACTGCTACATTGCTATTAACAAAATGAAGGAGGCTATATTTAGGTCAAGACAGATGCTGTCAAAGCTGTGTGAGGCATGCAGCTTTTTCAACACTGATATGTAGAGGGAACTCGGTATAAGCCGTTACACAGCAAACTCAGATATTTGTTCTGGGACTTGCATAAGTTTGATCTGAGCATTTCAACTTGTGACTGTAGCATAGCTTTTGCCTCCTGGTTTTACATTATTCAATCCTTCTTCTCCTTGCTCTCTTTGGCTCTTTCTTTCCTTGAATAAGGGGTTGATAGGTCAAGCACTGCTCCAGTCAGCATTCCCCCTGTTATGAGCTGAACCTTGCTCAGTCGTTTAAAGAAATCTCTCTCTGAATCAGCCTTGTGCATTTTTGGCAACAGTAGACAGATGACAATCTTCTGCTTATAGCTAGCCTCAGCACAAAGCCCAGCCTATGTTAGTTAGTGGTTTTGATTTATTTTGTGTGTTTTTTTTTTTTGTCCTACTCTGTTTGTCTTACCTTAAAACAATCTGTAACCTGTGAGAGTGTCATACTGCATCCCGTAAGGCTGTGTGCCTGCATGTAGTTTTGACCCCTTGGCCGTTTGGCTTAGATAGTCTGCAGAGTAGACTGTGGGCCTGGCTCTCCCCCGAGTGCAGACTGAAAAAGTTGTGCTGGGTGATAATTCAAGATTGTTTTGTATCATTTCTTTTCACAGGGGAATGTCACAGAGCTAAAACTTTTAAATAATATAGGCTACAGAAATGTTCCGTCTTCAAAAAATATGTCAATTTTTTAGACATTATGGAATAATATAATATTAAAACTTTGGCTTATCGGAATACAAATATTTCTTTCTTCTAATCTACAGTATGTGATTCGGAAAAACATGATCGCTATCACGCTATTAATTGCCTCCACATTGCCCTGTCCCTTATTTAAAAGCATGTGCTTGTTAGATTAAAAAGAATGTGTGCTTTTGAAACACGTCTGAAGTTGCTGATAAAGGAGAACAAAGTGTTAAAAAAAACGGTTTAGTTTATTTCATCTTATGCAACAGCAACACAGACGCTGCTTTTTTCAGTAGTTCTGCACATGGTTCATATGTGTGTGTGTGCGTTTGCTTGAAAAAATGTAATTTTGTGTGTCTCTTTGAAAAGTGTTCTTATCTGCAAGCTTATCAATCTGCAATCAGTTCACTCAATGATGACTAAAAGTTTTTTCATAAGAAATGTGTGCTTGTGATTCTGTGCTTGTCAGATAGAGCAGCTGAAGCAGGAGCAGACCAGGAAGGAGACAGAGATGCAGGCCCTGCAGACCAAACTAGAAACCCTGACCAATCAGAACTCGGACTGCAAGCAACACATTGAGGTGCTGAAGGAGTCGCTCAGCGCCAAGGAGCAACGCGCCAATACATTACAGACAGAGGTCAGTACACACACATATACACAAATCTGCAGACACACAAAAATGTACCCGCACAGATGCAAACACTTACCATGATGCACTGAGGAAGCCACTCCAGCTTCCTCGGAGCCACTTGTAAAGATACACACAGCCTCAGCTGGATGTGGCTGTCTGGCAGTGACGATGTCTGTAGATCACCTCAGTAATAACACAAACCAAGAGTTATAATATGTTTAGGCTGTTTTTCAGCTTGCTGTGGTTTTAACAGGGATAAAGATTATATTTTAGTGTAAAAGCTTCCTGTTGTATTCCTCTTTATTTGACCTTTACTTGCTTGCTTGCTTTTGCGTTAAGCCGATTCATAAAAAAAAAAAAAAAAAAAAAGAAGTTATTTTGTCGTCCAGGGACAGCCGAGAAATGCTATCACTTTTCCTGTGATGAAAATAAATGTATGCTGTTCCAGGAGAAATACAATAAGTGACCAGTTTACATGCAGATACTGAGGAGATGACAGGGGTCACCGCAACCACACAAGTGCAATCACCTCATATAATGTAACTTTAGAAAGAAACTATGCTGGAGCAAACAATCCTTTCTTTCTCCTCCTTGTTTTTTTCCCTTCTTTCTAACGAGGTAGGTGGAAAAAATGTCGATGCGTGTGGCTTCTGTAGTCCACCAGTGGGTTTGTGCGTGTGGGCGGGTCAGTATCACAGAAGGCAGGAGGGCGCTTGCAGCTTTTCGTCTACATCTTTTTAGTTTCTCTACTCCATAGTTCTAATGATTTTATCACTACTGTTAGGGATGGAGGCAGGTTGATTGTGGAGAAATGGAGGAGTGTTTGTGTGTGTGTGGTACAGGAGAGGCGGGGGGGGGTTAGTATTTTTCTCCATCACTCTCTAGACTTGGAACTGATACTTTAGATGTCTTTGTGTTAGGCAGTTGAGAGCAGCCTGCTAACTATGTCCACTCATCATTACAGGAAACAATTTGGGACAAAATTAGGCCTAATTGTACGTACATGTGCAAAGAATTTTGGCCCTTGCAGTTGGCTGAATACATCATTCTTAAAGGAATTTGTTTTAAGTGTTTTTTTATGTGTGTGTGGTTTTTGTTTGTGTCCTGAATTGAAATGTAATTTAAGAAATACAGAGGTGTGGACTCGAGTCACAGATTTGATGACTTTAGACTTGGACTTGAGCCTTACGACTTGAAAACACTTGAGATTTAAATGTGTGTATGCTACTTTAGGGCCATATGATTTCTGCAATGCGAAAAACAAAGATTCAATCATTGAATTTGACAATGTAAATGGAATCAACTGTAAACCACAGAATATTTTCCCCAGCAATCTCAGTGTTTTTAAAGTTTGAAGCACGTCTGGTTACCTGCAGAGTCTTTCTTCTGCTCATCTGCTCTCTGTATGTCTGCTCTCTAAGTTTCCTTAACTAGATAATGCGTAGCTAAATGATAAATGGACTTCTATAGCCCTATTCTAGTCTTCTGACCACTCAGTGTGCTTTTACAATACATGTCACATTCACGGCATTTACAGTAATCTAAATGCTCCAGCACTCTTATTACCTTATGAACAATTAATCTGGTACTTACTGGTTTGGTGAAAAAAAACAAACGTTGGATACAGACCTTATATTTTCTGCTGTGTGTTGCTCATCAGTACTATGTGTCTGTGGGACAATGGTCTTCAAATCCCAGGTCTGAATGAAATGACAAGTGATGGTAACATATGACTCTGTGGTGAGAGCTGCAGTAAACAGACTTGACAAACAGACAATTCTGCTGCATCTGTCCTGCTCTCGTAGCTGTTGTTAGCCGTGATGGCGGCTTGCACCCTGGCTCGACAAATGCCATCAGCTCGAGGAAGGTCTCTCATCCACAAGGCTTAACTGGAGCCTATCTCTAATCACCATTATTGTATTATAAACTAGTCTGGACATAGGGGTCATCATCGACATGGGCTAACAGGGTCAGCAAATGAAGTGAGACTATCTGTTCTCAGTCTACATATAATTCTTGTTTGTTTAAACTAACATTTTAATTGCATGAGCCAGTGACTCTACTAATGATCAAGAGACTGATGCCTTCTTGTTGGCCGGTGGTGTGTGTTTATGTGACACAGATATGTGTATATTTGTGCATGATTACAAAGCAATGCATGTGCATTACAAGGGGCAACTATAATGCGGACAGTATTCACCTCAGTGATAGGTAGCCTGTATCCTTCTCCTCTCTCGTAGGATACTGCAGTGGGCTGTAATCAGATCTGACATGTCTAGATTACAATAAACACACACTGCCTCACACAGACAATAATACATACAAGAACAGGTACGCTGTCAGTCCTGATTGCTGGACTCTCATCTCTGGTCTTGTGTATTTTTTTCCTGCTTTTGAAGTTGCAGTTTCCCTCTCTTAGAAAAGGCTAGGGTTTCCCGGACTAAGTGGGCAAACCAGAGGATGATTAAAGATATTGAGTGTGCTTTAGGCAACCATTGGCCCTGCATTCCTTTGGTGACAGTCAATCATCTAGCCAGGATGCACAACCATTCTCAAAGGATCATCCTTCACAACTCAGTCATTTTATAATTTCATAGCAGTTTGATTCACTGTTCCTACATCTCAGTTATACCCAGATTTCTCTCTGCTTCCACAATGAACAATTCACCATCGTACTTTTCTACAAAGACATGAATGTGTGCCAGATTGGAGGCATTACAAACGCCAGTTATTTTGTCAGTAGTCCAATCCCACAGAGACAGGCTGGTTTCTCCCAGACATAGGGAGCAGCTTCGTCTCATAGACACTTGTCTCTAAAAGCAATTCACATCAGGATAGGACCAAGAGAAGGCTGAACAGAGCAGGCACTGTGAGAGTGGGAACGAAAAAATGGAAGTGTATTTATTTGTCAGTCAAAGTTAAGGACAGTTTCCAAATGGGCCTTAGTGAATATGTCCTCAGATAACTGGAAATTGTGGAAAATAATGAGTGTAGCCTTTTGTATGAGAATTGAGACTCTTCTACCGCTGCTCATGTCTGCGGAAACCTAATCCTTTAATACAGTATGTGTCTTTCTAGCCCCTGATCAGGACAAAGCAGGGCTGTAACTATACTCTGGTAGATCAGGTAACCTATCAGAGACCTTCCTGCATATTTAACCAGCCAGAGAATGAGGAACAGGCCACAACCCCAGAGGAAAAGAGGCTTGCTGGCATGTGCTTTGACTATGTAACATTTCCTTTGAGAGTTTTGGATCTTTCAAAGAGGTCAGGTTAGACTGCGTTAAAATATTTGTCCTATATTACTGCTGTCACGCAAGAAGGGAAGATTATTACGAACTGCAATGTGTCTAGCTCCAACCTTTAGGGTCGGATCGATATGCTTGACATCCCAACAGAAGGGTTCTATAACAGTAGGATGGTACGGATCAGTTATTTAAGAACCCCTTCCCAACTTTTGACAGTGGAAACGTCAATACATGTGTACCGTACCAAACGAACCTGAGCCGGACCGCTTGGTGGAAACAGGGTTTAAGATTGAGCTTCTCTTGGTCTCTGAGATTAAATGCTAAGGTGCACAACTACTAATATATATTTACTGTTCATGGGTTGGAGTGTAATCTGAACTGATTTGTGGATGTTGGACAATATTACATCTTACTTCAGATTTGACTGCTTTAAGATCATGGTTGCACATTAAGGAGTACAAACAACAAATACAAAATAATTAGAAAAAAAGAACCCATAATAGGAATGAAGTAGAACATTAACATGTTAAAAAAAAAGTAAAATATTCAGAAATAATTCAATCAATATACATAAATGATATATCTTGGCTTATGGAACTTTCACAACAAACTTAATTTAAACATTGATTGATGGTATAAATATGACTTTGGCAGCTTATTTCTCTCATTATGCCTGCATAAATAATTTCTTGGCATTCTTTGTGCGACCTGTTATTACTGTGTCCGCTCTTCCCTCCAGTGGTAACCCTAAATTCATGAGAGTCACATAATGACTCATTAATTTCTATTTTTGATGCAACAAATCACTTTGGATTTAATGTCTTTGGCTCAAATTAGTAAAGACTTTTATTTTGTTAAGCTTGAAATGCTTTGATTAATATATTCATCTCTCTAAGAGAGCACTTAGCAGGTGACCAGTTGCTCACACAGGAAGTATCCAGGCCTGTAATAGGTCCAAGGTGATTATGTCAAAGTCTGGAATCAGCCACATAAGTAACCCTGAAGTTTAACATTTGATATTTATTCCTCTCTTAATGCCAACAGAAGTGTTGGTAGCAGCACGTCTTTGATACGCGCTTCGCCATGTGGCAACATGTCTGTGTTTACACAGAACGTTCTGCGGTTTTTCAGTTTAAGTCTCTCAGATGTGACCTCAAACATCTCATGCTCTCTTTCATCACCAGCATTTGCAGTGAGTCTGCCAGAAGACCTCCGCTGAGTTTTGATTTTGAGGTTAAGGTGTAATGACTTGAAGAAGATATAAATGACTCAAAAAGGACTTGCTAACATCAACCATTATGACAGTGATGAATAGGCAAAATAAGATGAAAATAAAGAAGTATCTGGAGCGGGAGAAGGAAACTTTGAAGGAAAGACAGAGCGACAGGAGGAAGTTAGAAGTGAGAGAATGGAGACGTTTGATGGATGTAGAGGGCTGTGGGCTTTTGTCAGTGAGTGATACGATTGTACGTTATGCTGTGGTCCCTGCTGGACTATTTTTGTTGATCTTTCCTTGTTCTTTACTGATTAATAGTTCATACAGGTAGTGAGGCGGAGGAAAGATGTGGTCTCAACCTGGTTACACTCCTCCCTGCACTCTCCTCTTGCTGTTCTTATTCACTCTCTTTCTTTCTGGCTCGTTCCCTTTTGCCCTCAACTTTCATGTTTTCTCTGTATTCATACTATCTGCCTCTATCTGCCCCCATTTTCTTGCCTTTTTTTCTTCTTCTCTGTCCATTCTTATCCCAAATTGGTTGAA